ATTTGGTATATTTTTTTTATAAATCTGACTTTTTACCTGCCCACAGAAGGGAATTTAAAATGACAACTTTTTTTACAAAAATCAATTTTTTCAATTTAACTTTCGAAATTGTTCCGGAAGGTNAAATGATTTACTCTATTGTCAATAAGACATACTTTACAGGTTTTTACACGTGTACTAATATTTATTTTTTTCACTGATTAGTCTCCAATAATTAATTTTATTTACCTCTAACAAAAAATATCGAAAATAATAAATGAGTTCTCTTAATTTAAGAGTACTCAATATTTGACTCAAATTACCCTCTTGGTAATTAATTATTTAGGTGGAACCTTTTGCTCTTAGTTAAAATAAAAACATTATTATTATTTTTTAATTGTATTCTTAGTATTTGAAATACTTTTGTAAAGTAATTGAGTATTACTCAAATACTTTTGTATGAAAAGTATTCAAATAGTATTTTAAATACATTTTTTTTTAAATATTTGAATATTATTTAAAATACTTTTTAAAAGTATTTTTTACAACTATGCCTAAATCCTTAATAATTAAACAGCCATTTTCTCTAATTAGTATCAATTTTAATTAACCGAATTCAATTAAGCTAAGTAAGTCAGGGACAGTAAAAAACCCTTGTTGCTATTATTTGCAGGCCTATCGAGTTAAAATTTTTTTAGTTTTATCAGCGCAATTATATCTTATTATTGACCTGTGAAACTTAAAATCCTAAAAAGATTTTTTATTATAGTTAAAATATATTTCTATATTATCAACAATAAAAGTCAATTTTTAACTTACAAGGGAGATAATGGTGATGGGATCGCTAATTTTCAAAAAAATTTTACGAATCTAATCTAAATTGAATATAAAGTTGTATTTACTTTGAATTTTTTTAAACAGGAAAAATGACTTAACAGATAAATAACCATTTGAACTACCTTAAATAGTCTTTTTTATCCAATTACGATTGAAGCAAGCTGTGGGTCAATGGGTAACGTACAAGCCCAAAGAGCTGTGGAAGTACAGGGTTCGAATCTCGCGTAGCGGTTAAATTTTTTGCATTTTTTTAATATATTTATAAAACATTTTAAAAATATTGTCACAATATATTTTTTATAATATTTTAGAAATATCTTTAAAATATTGTGAGAATGTAATATTCGCTGCCAAAGTATATTCTGAGAACATTGTGAGAATATTTTGAATATTCTGGTTATATTCTAGAAATATTTTAATATCAAAAATAAATATTATAGGAATATTCTAGAAATATTTCATTGCTATGTGGGTTACGAGGAACGAGGAAAAGGTTTACTATTTTTGAGGGTAGTTTCTTTGACTAGATACTATTTTTGATATTTTGACGTATGTTTGAAAGATATCGGTTCGATGAGAACTGAGAAAAAGTGGTAATGGACACAAAAAAAAAAAATAAATAAAAAAAAACACATCATAGTAAAACTAATACCTTCTCAACATTATATCGAAGCTAAAATATACTTCTATTAGATTAATTTAAAGAATAATTTATGCAACATAGCAAATTGAAATATAATACTATAGTATTATATAATACTTATATTGTACTATATAATATAGTCACTAATATTTTAATTTTGGTAAATTTTTCAATTATAATAATTACTCACAGCTTTGTTTTTTGCTGAATAATCATATAATTATATGTAACTAAAAAAAATATATATTTCATCAGAAAATATTTTTTCATATTATTCTAGTTACTAAAACTTTGATTGAACTTATAATAATACTGTATTGTTAAAATAAAAGGTAATTTAACCATAAAATAAAAACCTATCATACATTATTATTTTAATTACATACACTACATACACGTAGTAAAATTGCATAACAATTACGCCGTTTGAAAAATACTATATATGTGTTATACAACAGTATAATAAAGGGATAGATATTATCCCTTTATTGTCTATGTTTCTTTTATATATTTTAACGATATTGAAAACTCATTGAATTTCGCTTTGTGCATTTATGTGTAGAATAAATAAGATTAAGTATGAATATAAATTAAAAATATGTCTCGTTAATCTAAATAAATCATATAACAAACTTTTGTAACACAAAAATTATTTTCAACTTGTGTTTATATTTTAGTTGGTGAAAGTTTATATTGTTTTCATACTGACTCGTTCCATTTAAATTAAGAGAATAAGTCGGTTAGATTTACTACAAGAAATCCCTCATGTGCTGAGTATAATAATTTAAAATTTTGGAGTACGTTATAAAATTATATTTTCATTATATTTTATATTTTAGTTTTTCCGTCTTATGTTAAACCACATAATCATATTTAAGGCCACATATATTAGTTTAAAAGTACATATGATGGGTTTAAAAAATCCATGATTATTTTTATTTTTAATGAAATTTACAACATTTCTCCAAACTCTAGTAGTACAAACCAGAATTTAAAAAGGTCTTAAGAACCCCCAACCGGGAACATCGTCAATAAATTGGAAGTTCCCATTTAGTGTCTGATATAAAATGGGAATCCAAAAAGCAGGAAATTTACAGTCGAATGTTCAAACATGGGCTATTTGTTGGAAGGGTTTTGATTTATTTTGTTTAGCTGTCAGTTAAACATCACTTTACAACTATAAATTGAAAGTAATTTACAGTATTTTTATCCATTTAATTAAAATTTGTTTAATTTTTTTAATATTGAGCATTATTTCTATTTTATATCCCTATATTTACTATATTTATTATANTTTTTAATATTGAGCATTATTTCTATTTTATATCCCTAGAAAAAATTTATAATTCTAACCAATATTTAGTTTGAAAAGTTAACGTCTACTTCCGTCCTTTTCTTAATCATATAGTGAACGTTTAATAATGTAAAATAAAAACAAAAATTTCAAATTTTCACAAACTTAAAAGTATTACAGAAATATAAGTACATAGCATTACTTTATATAAGATTTTTTAGTTATTTTGACATCTTTTGAAACATTTCTCGTAAATTTTTAAAAATGTTATTTATATTTTTAATTAGAAAATTAATATTTATTAAACAATTATAACGGATCTCATAATGTATGTTGATTGTTAAAAAACAATCAGCGAAATTATATACACAATGAAAAGTTATAAAGTTATCAAAACATATTGGTTCATCTTTTACACCCATTGTGAGATCATCTGTTCGAATATTATGTAATTTTTGCTAGTTCACAGAAGTTTTAATAATGAATTTTGTAATCTCAATTATTATATAAAACGTAATTATAATATTATATATATTTGTAACATTTTTTTTACCTTACGATTTATTTAGTATTATAATTTAAATATTGTGAACATTTATTTTATTTTTAGTTACTAGAGATTTATCAAATTTTTTATTTTTATCGTTAATAAAATAATGAAATAATTTTTAATTAATTAATTTCATAAGAATTATAGAAAAAATAATCAATGTTTTATTTTACAGAATCTCCGTTATATTCAGGGTAAAATCAGCCAAAGTAGTAAAAATCACTGACAAGGATCTTTTGAAAAGATTAGGACTTATGATGATTGTTGTGGGTTTAATTCTTTTAATACGGACATTGGTCGATCCACCTTATGTTATAGTTGGTCGAACTGCAAATAATTTGAAGACAGATTTGTGTCCAACTGGATGGTGGGATAGATTTTTTTCGATTCGTAAGTAATATTTTATTATACTTCTAAATTTCTTTTATTACTGTCATGTATTTTTCAATTTGCCCTTTATAAATTATAGCTAATCTTTCTTAAAACATTTGATTATTTTTATAAAATGTAATTTAATCTAGGCGATATTTCTTAAATTAATTAGGTTAAATTATAATTTTGCTAAGAATGTGATAACTTTTAATAACTGCAAAAGATGGATTAAACTCAATTAATTTTTTTTTATTTAAATAACCAATATCTTAAAATCTCGTGAATTTATTACATCATATTTATACAACAGAATTTATTTAAAATATTTTGAATTATTATTTTTACATATTTTTTCTTTTTAGTTTACACAGTGAGAAATTATCTAAAAATTCCCATATGCCAGTATAATGTTTATAATATATACGTTAATTTTAAGCATAAGTAGTGTAATTTTATTATTAAGTTTTGGAAATTCGTATACAAATATTTTAATAAATATTATCGCTATTTATCAAACAATTTCATTAGCTTGTAATTGTCAATAACTTCAAGTATATGTATGTAAAAATTTGGACATTTTTTCAAGAGTACCTTGAACCAATTATTTAATATAAATAAACAAATAATTTATTAAACGATACACGTGGCAAAACATGGCTAAAAATATTCAACAATAAAATTTTCTTATACATACTTATGTAAATATGTAGAAACTATTAATGAATACAAATTTCAGTATTTATGCTCGAATTATTTTAATTTAATTTAAATTAAAAAATTCTATTAGCTATTAGTTGAAAAATATCAATTACGAATATATCGTTTGAGTAGCACTTAAAATAATATTCATATGATTCATAATTTATGAGCTAAAAAATGTTCAACATTCAGTCAATGGGATAGACGTAGACGTATTTAATACTAAATTTGTAATACTTTAATGTACAAGCAACCGCCAACATTAATTCGCCAAGTGTATACTGAATCCAACGTTTAAAACATAGCTGCTGCAAATATATACTACCAATTAACTAAATAAAAGGGGAAATAATTAACAAACTTAAATGTTAATTTTATAATTATTTTATTTTAAGTATAAATAACGAGCTGTAATACTATACTATTATTGCGAGAGGTTTTAACATAAGCACCAAATCAATTCTATTTTTGTTATTTTTATGTTTCTGCATTTTCACTATTTATATCTATTGAATAGATTGAAAATACTCAATAAAAATACTGTATAAAAATAAAAAATCAATAAAAAAAAGTGTGCATTATTCAAGGTGATATTTTAATAGTAAGCACTCTTTTTTTTTTTAAATAATAATTATGTTAAGTAAATTGTTTTTGGTATTTTTAGTGTCATAGATTCATCAGGTATGACAATATTTATTATTAGACTTTATCCAATGCATTTCTCCTGTTATGGTATAGAAATGTTCATAACTTTCGAAGTACTGGTTAAAATTTGTTATAGACAAGTCATTTTTTTAATTAAATCATTAAAAAAATTAAGTTTATACGTTTATAAGGTATAAGAGATGAATTTAAAAATAAACTGAATAATTATTAAATCAAGAAATATTTTACACTCAAGTTGAAAAATTTAAAAAAAATAGTAGTTGAAATTACATATTGATCGATAAAGTAAAAAATTAAGAAAATTAAACTAATTAAGAAAATGATTTGTCGATAACAAATTTTGAACTAGTACTTTAAAAGTTAAAACATTTTTAAACCTTGGCAGGAGGAGAGATGCTGTTGAAAAATGTCTAATAATAAATATTGTCACTTCATCAAAAGTCTGTAATTTAGAATGGCAATAACTTTCGAAGTACTAAAAATGATTATTGACTAGTCATTTTTTTAATTAGCTTAGTTTTTATTTCATAAGCTAGTTAATCATGTATGATGTCGTTTAAAAAAATTAATTTGGTACCCTTTTAAGGTGGCATTAAAAAATATGCAACGTTAAAAAATACCAAAAAAAAAAATTGCTTAACATTTTTTATATTTAAAGAGAAATCTAGTGACTAGCGTTAAAAAAATCACCTTGTATACACACTTTGACATTCTTTGATTCTTTTATTATGAAATCATAAATTTCACAATTTACAGTAATGACTGGATGTAAGGTAGAAATACTATTTCTTTTACCACTTGATATTTCTTTAGATAGTACCCCATCTCACCTAGAAATAAAAATATTAATATTGAAATATTCGTTCAAAAATTATTATGGATCATTTTTTTATTTTTTCGATTAATTTAGTGGTTCATGATAAAAGAATCATTCTGTATACATGTTTACTTCTCGATTCAAAACTACTTTTATAAAAAACATAAAAAAATTCCATAAAATGTATCATAAAATTAGAATAAAAACTGCTCCTCAATATTTAAATTGAAACCGTGAAACTTTGTTCAACAAAACAATATGATCATAAGGATACAAATAAGGACACGCTCAATGTATTATCCTAATATTTATCTATATTTGTATTTATTAAATGATAAAATATCGTAATAAAGAGAACACTGTATATTACAACAGATAATCCAGAAAGTAAAAAGAGTTAGAATTAAACAACAATTTTACTATAAATTTTAAATAACAGTTTACATTTTTTACTTCGAGAAAACTTTATTAGATGTTCTTAAGTAAAAAAATAAATCATCATAATTTCATATATACTCATTATTTACTCACTACTATAACTCTAATTTATGGAAAAAATATTACCATACATCATGAACGCCTTTTGATAAAAAAAATTAATTAGCTGATAAATTTATAACTTATACGTCATATATTAACTAGTAAGGTACTCAAATTTTGTTTCATATTTAAATTTAAATGATTTATTATTTTCAGTGGAAGTATTATTTCTTGCTTGGGGAATTCGTCTTTGTATTGTAGTGCGAAAAGCTCCTTCAGAATTTAATGAAAGTCGATTTATGTCGATGGCCATTTATAATGAATTTATTCTCTCAGTATTTTTGAATGTATCAATGTAAGTGACGTTTATTCATTATTATTATAAATACTGTCAAGAAAAACCATTTTTAATATGTGTTAAATGTATGTGCTTATTCTATAATAAACTTAAATTTGGTAACACTCATTAATCAAATATATACTAAGTATAAAAGCAAAATTAGATGTTCAATAATTTAATAGGATTCGTCAAAGATATACTTTTGGATATCGATATCGTATCTAATTTCAGCAATATTATATAAAAAAAAAACAATTGATCTCGATACGAAATAATTAATCGATGTAGAAAAATAATTAAATTTAATAATTAAATTTTTTCACCATTTTTTTATTTTCAAGAATACCGTTAAATTACCATTTTTGTAAAAACCAGACTATGATATAGCAACCAAATCAAATAATATTTAAATAAAAAAAATTTAGATAATAGTTATATCTCATAAGGATATTTTCAAATATTTTCTAATTACTTTTTATTATGAAGAAATAAGTTTTTTTTGTTTCAAGACTTTATCATTATAATTTTGATTTATTAATTGGATGGAATTTTTGTGTTTTTTGAATAATGCTTTTACAGCTATATCAGTGTTTTGGTAAAAAAAAAAAATTATGAGTGTTGTTTATATATTTTTTTTATTGCTATAAATCATTACTGAAACACAATTTTTCTTCTTTTTAGAAATAAAATTTAAACTTTTACAAAATAAAACATCATTATTATTATCATCTAATAGAAATTTCTTTTCGGGCTCAATAATTTTATTTTATTTTTCAGATTCAGTTTTAATCAGTTGTTGCTGTACAACATCTTCTAATTCTGAAATTTCTTTCGCTAATTTTTCTCATACCTTATTTCGTTTGCGTTTTCTTAAAAGTAGAAATAACAACAATTTAATAATAAAAAATCTAATCTCAAAATAGAATTTTGTATCAATAAATATTATTTTTGGTCTTATCTCATTTCTATATTTCATAATATATTTTAATATAAAAAACGTTTCAAGATTATCACGAACTGTATTTCGCCTATTACCAAATAATATATATAATACAATTTTTTTCGATTATCGCGATATTTCAAAAATAATCGATATTGTGGGAAAAATGAAAAATGTCGGCGTATCGATATCGAATAGAAATATCAATATCGTTGACGAATCCTTATATTTAAACAATATAGTAATTTATATACAATCATGTAACTTAATATTAAATGATTAAGAATGTTATTGAAGTTTAGTACAGTAAAATGAAGGTAAGACAAGTGAATTCTTGAGTTATTTCGACGGTCTGCTTGTGAGGTAAACATGACGTACATATTTAAAGATATTAAGTGCTTATAATCTTTATCCAAATCAATCAAAAGTGTTATCCAACTTAAACCCTACCAATATTGTATATTAATTTGATTAATAAAATGAATATTAATTAAATTTATAAAAATAATTAAAGCTTTGTTTTGAAGGAATATACACAAAAAATATTTTACTATCCAACTAAACGAAACAACAATTGTATCTTAATCTTGTAATTATTTTTATTTTAAGGATCTATCCCCCTCTCCGCCCTTAATTATGCCTATTTTCTTTACTGAAAAAAATTACAAAAGAGATAAAAAAGAAATAAACAGACCATACAATCTTATTAATAAATAATTATTCTATAATAAATTATAATAAATAATAATTATACTAAATAATTATAAATAACTTTTCTTGATAAAAATGTTGTATTATTTTTATATGTTGGTGCAAGGTTCTGGTCGTACTAAATACCTATAAAATCATTCATTATTATAGTTAAATTAAAAATAAGACAAATATTCAATGGCAATTATGTTATTATATAATTTAAATGTTTAGTTCCTTTTGTAATGCCTATTTCATCATTTATAACCAATAACAAAAACTTTTACAATAAACATGTTTAAATATATACAATTTTTTATATCATATTTATCATTCAAGAGCTTTAGATTGTTAAAAGAGTAATTAAAATAAAAATGTCTGTAAAGTAAAGGCTTTTTTAATTCAAATATTAAAAAGTAATGAAACTTTACACGCACATTGTATTAAATCCAAAAAAATAAGGGAATATCATTGATTTATTACAATAGAAGATTATATCAAATAATTAAATAATATTATCCCTCTTTTTGGGGCATCTAGTTCGAAGTCCTAGCGGAAAAATAGAAATATATAAAAAATGGTAAATGTATAAATAAATTAAATATTTAAACATTTATTTATGTAATGTCAAAAATAAAAATATTTATACAAATAAATATTTTTATATGGTAGTTTTTATTATTATTGCACGTAAAGTTTTATTTCTAGATTAAAATTAATTTACTCTAGTCAGTTTCGATGAACATGCTTACATTTAAATAATAAAATAATAATACAAATTATAATACAGTTAAACTTATTATATTTTAAATGTAGTTTAAGTGCACTTAGGAAAATCAAAATAATATTAGCATCAAATATACAGAGTAGAACAAATCTAACGAACTCTTATCACTTTTGATACAATTTTTGTTTTCTTAGACTTCTTTAAAAATATATTTTTACTATTTATTTTTAATATTATAAAAATAATTTTTTCAACATTTCAAAATTGCCGTTTTTTAGAGCTTTTCTTATTACAAAAATTTTGATTATTTGATATAAACTTTACGATAAGTACTTATTGAGTTACAAGTATATTAATGAATAAAGTGGACATGTGGCATAGGTGGAGTAAGCGTTGTAAATATATTAAATTGCGTTATATACTTATTTATTATCGATCAATTAACATTTTTTGTATGAAAATATATAAAAAACCGTTATCTTTAAAATTTCGAAAACATCAAGAAAATAATATTTTTATTAATATTACAAATAAACAATAAAAAATATAGTTTTAACGTAGTTTAATAGCACAAAAAATTGCAATGAAATTTTAATTGTATTAAAATTTATAAGAGTTCTCAGTTACCTAACTGGCAACTCTAAAAAATTATTGTCTCAGACATCTATAATATACATTTTATAAACAATGTGATTTATTTTTTTGAGTTATAATTTTTGGTTATAGATGACAGGGATGCAAAACGTTGAAGAATTCTTATTTATGCGTTATGGTAAAAATAGAGCGTCGTTAAACACTACCCCATTCATTATCTTTTCTAAATCTTCAAATGATAATATCACAAAAATTAATACAATTCTGGATATCATCAACCAGTCAAATTTTATTTAGACCATTCTCCATTTAGCATTAAAATAATAATAGTAGATTCCCATTTATATTTCAAACGATACTCCTAAAATCTACCCTTAGGAATATTTTTTTCTTATAAAAAACTTGATACTTGCAATGGCTTATAAAAATATATTAAACTTTAAGCTATATATTTGTTTGAAAAAATAATAATTTAACGAAAAAAATGAAAGATTGTAAACTTAATAAATCACACAGTGTATGTTTTTATATAGTTATTAAATTAGTAATAAAAATCAAGTAATACGATGTAATATTGTATTAAGACAATGCTTTAAACGATACCATATTATTATTAAACGTAGGTGTGTGTATAGTGTAATGTCAAATAGTTTGATTATAAGCTATTTTATTGATTTTTATCATAGGTTTTTTCTGCAATCACCAGCTAATCCTGATTTGCAGTACATAATCTTTTTCTGTCATACTCAACTCACAGTCACTACACTACTAGGTTTTATATTTGCCAGTAAAGTAAGTCAATAATACATTTTTATAAATATAAAATTTAAAGAACTACATTCATAATACCTAAAATAGAACTATAAAACCCATTATTCTGCAATAAATTATAGAGTTTTAACAATATTTTATTTACAACATTAAGGGGAGAACCTGATGTAAACTTGTTTAACATATATTGTTTAAATATAGAACACAAGTGATCAGAACAAATTTTTTATAATCTTTGTCAGATGACATAAACATTAATCTAACATATGTTTAAAATTTGAAGTGTTTCCGGAAATTTTTCAAAAGTTAAGTAAAAAAGTTTTAAAAATGTCAAAATTTCCAGATTTTAAAAATCAAAATTGTTGTGTTTTCTGCGAATTATGGGAAACAAGGCAAATTTTTATAATTTCCAAAATCATGTCTTCAACTAGATACAATTTATGATCTTTTTATGTGTTGTTCAGTGAAATCAGTCTAGTAAGATCTGAAAAAAGTGGTGACAGACACAAAAAATATAAACATATATATAGATTCACCATAGTAAAATTAATACCTACTTAGCTTCGCATCGAAGCTAAAATATACTTAGTCATTTTGAAGAAAAATAATTTTTATTTTCAAAATATTTTTATAACTTTTTTATGTTGTATATATATTAGGGTGAATTAAAAAAAATCTATCTTTGGAATTTTAATGAGAACCATTTTAACTTTATTATATACATTAAAATAGGCATATTGGGAAAATTTGAGATTTTTAAAAAATAATGCCTGGTTGCTCAACGTGTTTTTTGTATTTTGAACATATACCCAAAAAAACGGCCTCAGTTATTCAATTTTTGGTCAAATATTATGATTAGTATATTAAAATAGTTTAATTTTTATTGTAGAACAAAAATTTTTTAGTTTCGAAATTTTAAGTCGAAAATTGATTGCGTGGACATCATAATTAGCGTCATTATATGGTATATTTCTAGTAGGTCTCAAGTAAGCTTAAATTTTTTTTTATGCAATTTGGCTGGTATTTATGTATATTATAAGTAGTAAATATTATCATTGCGTTGCTTTTCTACAACTTGTAGTAAATATTGCTTTTGATCCTCGTCAATTGTTAGGCAATTATTAAATTGCTTAATTAAAGCTATGCCTCTATCTGCTGTATTATTTACCACAAATAAGGATTCAATTTTGGTTTTTGCCAAATTATAATTTGAATTTTAATACCATTTTTGGGATCATCGTGTAAAAAGTTATCATTTATTTTGAGAGCTAAAAAAATTTGTTTAGTGTTTTCTGTGACAAATTGATTTAAACCCTCATTACCCTTTACTGTTTCCATTCCAATTCGTCTTTTTGGATTGTATTCTCCTTTTTTATTTAATGCTTGCACCATTTTAATTTTTACGTCTATCGATGATTTATCAATGATTTATTGTCAAAAAATGATAATTCAACAATTATTTCATTGAAGTACCATAAATGCCAAAAACAAGCTTTTATCGCTTCGTCACTTACATACTTATTAATATTACTATATTGCTTTAGTTCTCGTAGTAGTTTAAGTTCATTATTTGGTACATTTGCTGGATATGAACATTTGAACCAATATCTTATATAAATATTTCATTCCGAAATTGTTAATTTAAATTGCGTACGGAACATATAAATTTTAAGACAATATATTATTATTGCCATCCATCTTGCTTTATGAATTGCTCCTGGTGGATGAATTATAATTCTTTTTTGTCCAGTGTTCCAATGAATGACAAACAAAGTTCTAACAACTCGTTATAATCATCCCAAAGAGTCAATTTTAGTGTTACCAAAAATATAAAACTTACTTTTCTATTGTATTATATTTAATTAAAAATGAATTGTTTAATAAAAAAAATAAATATGAAAAGTGTGCAATTGCAATATTTATTTATTCATATTTTCAAGAATATCGTATATTTTAGCTTAAGCATTAAAAACGCGTTGAGCCACCAGACATTATTTTTTAAAAGTCTCAAATTTTCCCAATATGCCTATTTTAATGTATATAATAAAGTTAAAATGGCTCTCATTAAAATTCCAAAGATAGATTTTTTTTAATTCACTCTAGTATACAGGGTGGCCCACCACTCACTGACAACTTAAATAACTTTTGATCCAGTTAATATTTTTAGCTGATTTTTTTTTTAAATAATAGTTATACGTTAGGTCTATAGCTATATCTCAATAATTAATTTTTTTACATTTTATTAAAAATATTAATTATTTTTAAATTTTAAATAAAAAGTAAAAAAAAAATCTAGGATAGCTATTTTGTAGAGTAGAATTTAAGAAAAATTTTAGTAAAAAAATATCCTATTAATATTGAGTAGTAAATATTCTGTAGCGTTTCGAAGTTTGTGAAAATTTGAATTTTCATGTATTATTTTACGGTATTAAACTTTGATATACGTATTGAGAAAAGGACAGAAGAAAACGCTATCTTTTCAATATACTTTTGAATGAGAGTGATAAGTAATAATTGCCTTATCTAATTTCTTATCATGGTATTAATGCCATGTTTGTAATGTATACACATTATCATCATATGTATACACAGTAATCATGAAAAGATAGCGTTTTCTTCTGTCCTTTTCTCAATACGTTATCAATGTTTAATACCGTAAAATAATACATGAAAATTCAAATTTTCACAAACTACAAAACGCTACAGAATATTTACTACTCAATATTAATAAGATATTTTTTTACTAAAATTTTTCTTATGTACAGAGTGGTGGGCCACTCTGTATATAAAATATCAAGTTTTCACTTTTTAAACAACTGTAAAAAAAATCATATTTTTACTCACTGAAAACCTGTATATGAAAATACAAAGTATATGCTTTTTGAACACCATAAATTTTTACATATAAATATTACGGAAAAACAATTATTTAATTTATTACAAACATTTCACATTAATTCAAATTATACTTTGTTACTCATTATAATAACGCTTAATTATAGGCATACCTAGTGATTAAAGGTGAAGAATCAAATGATGAAGATGGACAGTTAAAAAGTATAAAAATAACTGGCTGTGGTAGAATTTTAAGTAAACAGACAAAACTCTCTAATAAAGCCAATTCTACATTCGGCGGTATTGAAGAATCTAGTGCTGATTTTACTTTCTCTGAAAATGAAATCCAAGTATATAATATTGAATTTATATTATCAACAATATTTTGTTAAAAAAAAGGGCGTGTACTAAACTATTCTCTGTTTAGGGAACTAATCAAAACAAAATAAAATACTCAATTTTTTTTTTCTATTCTGTTTTATAAAAACAATCTGTACGAATATATAAACACTCAATTTCTAAGACAAAAAAAATAAAATAATTTGTTTATTATTAATGTAGAAATATGTATATCATACACTATACTAGAAATAATATTATCATACAATTCATAACTTTGAGTTTTTCACAGTTTTAGTCACTCTCATAATTAGTTGAACACGTTTGTATAAAATAGATTTTGTATTTTCTTTGTAGGTGTTTGAAAATCTTATAAACACCGAATGTATTGATATTTTGTTACACTTGTGAATATCGTTTTAACATTTTATGTGCATTATATTTTTCTGAAACTTAATACTAAACACATATTTTTGATTTTCAGCGGTACGCCCTTTAAACTAACAGCGTCGTTATAATATAAAAACGTTGTTATCTAACATAATATGTTCGATAACATATATTTACCTTGTTAATTTACTTTTATGGTTACAGGATGAATTTGCTCAAATTTTTCAGCAATTAGAAATACTTAAAGATAAAAATATCCGACTAGGTAATCAACTAATAGTAGATAAAATAGTTGCCATGCAAGAAGTAAGCAAACGAGATGTATGGTCAATCAATGTGGATAAAAAAACAAATGCCAGCAATCATACTAGTAGTTATTCTATAAGTGCGTTTCAAAAATCTTTAACAGTAAATCAAAATGGCAAAAAACCTTATATGAAAGAAGTCACGGTGTAAAAAAAATGTGTACAATGACTATTAACCAAAAAGTTACAAAGATTAGTCATAAAAGTAACATTTTAAACAATTTAAATGTAAAAATCCACAAAATGAAATATATATGTATTCAATGATTTATGTACATATACCATTTTATAAGATAACAAATATTATTATTAAAATATTTATTTGTTTTTTTAAAATGAAATTTATTTAAAGTAACGGTAATAATTTCGCTTTATGTTTAGTTATTAAAATAAATATATTTTTAATAAAACCGAATTATTTTGAAACTTTTATTTCATTGATTTAATTTATGTTAGTGTACCTTGTGATGTTTCCTCCGTAATAACACTACATTTTTAGAGATAATAAGGTTTTTTACTCTCAACGCTTTTGTAAAATTTAACATTTGTAGTAATTACTGTCATTAAAAATTTTACTAAAAATACTCAAATTTATTAAATAAATATTATATAATTTAATTAATATTAAGTATTCATTATAATTTAAAAAAAAAACGTTCAATATAAAAATATCTTTGTATTTATAATGAAAATTTTTAAATAATTAGACCGTAAGTCTTCTTCTTCTTCTCCTTCCTTCCTAATCCCAACTACTTGAGGTCGGCCAACCTTATCCTAAACTTCCACATCATCTACGCTCACATCAGCTATCCTCATATCGCATTCAATAGCATACCTCCATCTCTTTTTTGGTCTTCCTCTACTTCTTCTTCCTTCAACATTCATTTCTATTACTGTTCTTATAGCTTCAGATTCTTCTCTTCTCATAACATGACCAAACCATCTAAGTCTATTTTCTCTCGTCTTATCCACAATTGATACTACACCTATATTCCCTCTTATATGCTCGTTCTTTATCCTATCCTTATCTTATCCTATATCTTACGGTCTAAATAATTAGACCGTAAGTAAATTACCAAAATAGATGTTATGAAATGTTGAATTATAAAATTGGCTTATTGTTTTGCAGTATTATTTTAATAAATGGTTATTGCCTTTTTTTTATAGATTTATAATATAATGTTAAGAATAACTCATTTATATTTTCTTTTTAAAAATAAAATTTTTGTCAAGCAATCAAACAAAACAATAGAAAATACTAATTAATTATAATAATATATTCGTATTATGACAGTATAAATAGATATATATCTTCTATTCCGCCTCATTGCTTAAATACTGAAAAAAGACAAACATTTTTTTTTTATAAAAATTAGTTAAAAACAATGTACACTTTTTTTTACACGGTTATTTAATAATTGAATTATAAACAGATGTATCTATAAATATATTTAATGTAATACAAGATGTACAACAATAAATTTTTAATAGTCCTAAAAATTCTATAGTAATCAATTCAACATAAATTTTCTGTTCAATTTAATGATTTTTTAGTTATACATTTGCTTATTTAACGTACTAAGAAGAATTAAAATTGAATATTTATCTTTTAATTCTTCCTAGTTACAAGTATAAATGTTCGAATTCCATGTGAAAAAAAATCGAGTCTCGGTCAGTTGAATGTATTTATTTTAGAAATATTTTTTTTGAGAACAACTCTTGACCCAACCTAATTCACTTTAACCTATTTCTAATTTCCTCATTTATATACATAACACTATGTTTATTTCAGAAAAATTATCTTTTCAAATAGCAATAAGACTTAATTAACCTCATAAAAATTAATTGAATTATATAAATAAAATATTACATTAAAAAAAAAATTTAAAGTGAAGATTTGTTTATTAAAAATACTAGTAAATAAAGTAAAATCCGTATAAAACCTTCACCAATTTTAAGTATTCATAAAAATCTATAATGACTGTATAAAATTTCAAGTAACGGGACTTAATATAATATTCTTATAAATTAAAATCTGTGATATTAAAAATTTATCTATTTAATAAGTATTTTATAAAATAAAATGAAATTCGTGGTAACCATTATTTATAATTAATTTGTATTATAAATTAATAATTTCAATAAATTGTTACTTATCATTATTATTTTTAAGTAAATCAATAAGTTTTTGAAAAACATCATATTTTTCTGATTTGTTTAAATAAATTGCAATTTTAATCACAGAAATATGTTAATTTTAATCTGCAATTGTTAATTATCATTATTGTTAATTATTGTTGATTTATGAAGCTGTTATGAGTCTAGTTGGATTGAAAACGTAGACTCACTTAAGAAAATATGTAAATAAATAAAAACTGTACTTTACTAAATTGAGTTGTATTACTTACTGGCGGTTTATTTTTCTAGCATCTTCAATGCTTAATATTTTTATCGCAGTTTTGTAAGTTTTACAAAGAGACCAAAAATTCCTCTATATTCCCTAAGTTATGAATTTCTATACAATCTATTGGTTCAACTTCATCAACTTTTGAACTATCCAAATGTCCAATTTACACAATCTATGGCCAAATACAGTAACAAAAATTAAATACATATTTCACTCTTGTATCATCATGACCGACCCCTAATAGTTAGGATAAAGGCGAGCTAAAAGAAGATTTCACTATTGTATTAGTGGATACAAATTTTGCCTAAAGTTACTACATTTTTGCGCCAATACTCGTGTATACAAAGTATTTAATTTGAGTAAAACTAGGTTTTTTGTATTTGATTAAATTTTTGATAAATACTAATTTACCGCATAACATTCCAGAATATTGCATATGAAGTATATTTTTTCAACATCCTTGACTTAAGGCAGAAATACTCTTCCATAGCTTCGAAGTATTTTTTTGGGTTTTCTACTTTTTCATTATCCGAAAGTTTAGATAATTTTATGTCAATGTTTGTTATACACTGCCCAATTTCTTCATATGATGATTTTTTTTTCTAGTAATTTATTTAATCGTATTGTTATTTTTTTGGATTATCACGTTTATTTTAAATACTATTATAGTTAACGCAAAAATGTATAGAATAAGATAGTTAGTTATTAAATTTTAATTTTAAATAAACTAGTTACAAAATATTTACGTTTTTCAAAATTATTATAAAGTTTCAAATACTTTTTTTTATGGGAAATTTAAAATTTAAGTATAATTTTATTTTATTAAATTTTCCTACTAACCTTAACCTACCTTTGCTCAATTTAAAGGGTTTTATATATGAGTTATTACACGAGAAAATAACATAATATTTAGACAAAATTTATATTCACTAATACGAATGTAAAATATGTATTCAACTTTCATGAGTATAATGTTATTTAAAATTAACGCGAAAACCCGTATAACAACTCTCTTTGATCCAACTTCCACCCTAATGCGGTACGGAAAGAAGTTGATTTATCTAGTCTAAATTTTCACAATATAATTTTTTGTATACGAAGTAAAAAAAATGTTGAGTGGTAATATCAAATATCTAAAAAAAAAATCTTAGTTTATAGGTTCGAACTAACTTTATGTATAGTTATCAAACTTTTAATTTACTGAAATAAAATTTTGAAAGAAATAAAAACTTCTTTGATTAGTAGCCATTTTTCGTCCGGGCACCTCTATATGAGTCTAGTCGGATTGATAATGTTGATTCTCTAAGGAAGATGTTTAAAAAAATAAAAACACGCCTTTCATATTATAAAAACAAATATAAAACATTTATTGTTACAAAAATTTAATAAACAAAAACGTCATAAATAATAAAGGAAATAAAAAATCAACACAATGTGTATAACAGAACATATGACAAAAAAATAAGAAAATAAAAACAGTTTGAAACCTATTAATCTAAAAACCTATTAAAAACCTAACATTTTTGTAGTACAGTAAGTTTGATCTTGGGCGATTAATACTATTTGTTCATCCAGTCAAGCGTGCAGTTGGTTACCACAATCGAATCTTAGTAGTTCATTATTGTGAAACAACCAATTTGTAGTTTGTAAAAAGGAAAAAATATTCGTTCTTTTTATGGTGACCTGAGATTTTATTTGAATGGTATCAACAGTGATCGACGTCTGGATAGGCCAGTGTTGACACTTAGCTAAACTTTAAAATTCATTTATAAAAAAAGTGTCACAACCAAGTTTGTATAAACTAAGTTGGTTTTACGTTTTTTTTTTCTTTTATTTTTAAAATACTTATCTATATCTTATAAAATTATTTCTATTTGTAAACTGACAATGCCAGCTAAACCCACTTTTGATTAATATTAACCCTATCTTTCAAATAACCGGTTATCGTTTAATTACAAAGTAGAATAACTTAAAAACTCAATGCAACAATTATTTGTTTTTATAAACCAGTATTTTAAAGTCTGATATTAACTAAATTAAAAAAAACTCTTATTTTAGTGTGAATGGAATGCCACTCGCATCTCCTGTAGCTAAACATTAAAAGGTAACCTTAATAACTATGGAAATTTTTATTTCCATGATTCATTTGTTTCTTATGAAGTATTTATTGCTGATGTGATAAAATCACTATCATAAGAAATACTTTGATGCAAATCTGTACATATTGTTTAATTTTAAGAAATTGATGGATTATTCCAAAAGCAAAATTAACTCCTACTTTTTGTTCTACTTTGACTGCCATAGAAAATTGGTCGTCGGTACAAATTTTTTTTTTTTTTTAACTTCTAGTACATAAAATTAGCTTTATTTTAACATATATTTAAAAACGGTTTCAAAATGTCAATTTTTAGAAGAAAAAAAAATGTCGAAATTTACCGATTTTAAAAATCGTAATTTTTTGGTGGATTTGCACTATTTATGAGGAACGAGCGAAACATTTTTAATTTTTGAGGGTAATGTCTTCAAGTAGATACGATTTGTGATCTTATGACGCCGAGAAAAATCGGTATAGTGAGAACTGAGAAAAAGTAGTGATAGACACAAAAAAATAAACACATCATGGTAAAATTAATACCTTCTCAGCTTTGCATCGAAGCTAAAATTCACATTTTTATATAATTTTATTCAGTATAATTGAAATATTAAGTTTATTTAAAACTTTCAGTCCTTCCAAGAAAATTTAATTTAAGTTTTGTTTTCAATACTCAGTCATAATGAGTTCAAAGTAATAAGAACATTCCTATATAAGAGGATAATGTATTTTAATATTTTATATAAATATAAAAAAATTTAAATTCTTGAGAATTTCTATTGCAGTTGTTTATTTTAAAAAGTCTAGTCACTTCATTTTTGGTCATTTACGTCACCGAATGAATTGTGTATGGTCGTTTGGTCGTCACAACTTTTAAAGACTAATTACAAATCGTAATAAATCTTAATGGTTTCAATGAAAATTCATTTATTTTATGATGTATAAAAAATATGAAATTCCTGAAATCTATGTTGTGTGTTCAATATTCTGTTTCACATTTAGATATGAAATTAATATAAGTTCCAATGGCATCAAATTTTACATTGATAAGATTGAACATTTTCTATTAAAATTTGTAAAAATATCTATTAATAGAAGGATGCGTCTTATAAAATTGTTCATTAAAATGTGAATGGAACGATTAACAATTATTTGTTTGCCCAAGCCAATGAGGGATCCATCAATGCCCAAATTTTTTAAGGATATTTGCTTTTCTCAGAAATATAATTATCGATTAAATAATCAGCATACTCAATAAAAGATGTTCCCTCAGGTATTGATGCCATGAAGTTAACAAGGAAACAATCAGACACGTCTTCTGGATTTAAAAAAGTTAATCCGAAGGTACCTTTTAACCATTCACATGTTTTATAAGCTATATTCAAACGTAATTATTGAAGTTTTCTGTACAAACTCTGGGTTATGTGAAATCTACAACCAATTATATTAACTGATGGCCACACAATTAGAGCAGCTTTGTAATTAGAAATTTCGAAATCTGCAGTTATACTTTCAGGATACAGCAATAAAAAATTTTCAGCGCATTTATATTTTATAACCTCAAAAGCTTCTTTATAAATTTCTATAAATTTATTTTTTAATAAACAAAAAACAAGTGGTACATAGTAATTGTTTATATGTCCGTGTATAGTAAATAATTGTTCAAATATTTTGAGCAATACTGAAGAGTTCCGTCTACATATATTGATTTGGAATTACAAAGAAATTTGAGGTTTGTATCACAAGAAAAATAATAATATTTTTCTTATGATCGTTGTGTAATAAAAACTGTTCTCCGCGTGTAGTCGATATTTCTATGTTATCAATAAATGCATGTAATTCACATATAGATGCTTATGGATTTATAAGAAAAAAAAATAGTCGGCTAGTGCGATAAATAGTTTGGCGAATCATGACACATTCGTTGTAATTATAGTTACTTAATGATTGAATTTCCCCTAAAATTATTTTTTGCGGTCTTTGGCAAATATCGTCTACGGCTTTACGTTTACAATCGCCTGCTAATTTGTGTCTTATAATTATGGGATCAGAACAAGGGCCATTACATGTATGTTCTATAAGACATATTAAAACTAATTTCAAATAAGGTCAGCTTTAATAAATTTTACTAAAAATTAAAAAAATACCTGTTTGATCGATAATTTTATCGAGCTCATTCACTTGAATGGCACATTTGCATTCTTTTACAAAACAACGCCAACGTATGTTACCCGTTTGTATTGCTTTATATGCAAACGAAACTTAAAATTATTCAATAAAATCATTTGTTGGCCCCGCTTACTTCTTATATATTCAAATGACATTTTAATTAAAAAAGTAAAATAAAAAAGAACGGATGGCAAAATATCGATAGACCGAATATCAATGCACTGATATCTAACTAACAATAATAGAATAGGAAAAAGTTCGATCATATGAAAAGTAGATAATTATTATCGGGTTATTTTGGCAAATACTTTTACCAGTGGTTCTCAAGCTTCTATTTGTAGACAGGTATACACTATCGGTTTGGCGGAAACGAACAACCGACCTTATTTAGATTTGGCGGAAACGATGAACGCTCGGAAAAACCTACATAGGCCAAAGCAACAAAATCGAACCCGGCACCTATGCACCGAAACGAGGCGCATTATCAACTGATCTAGGTATCTACCTGGACTCTTAGCTTACATAGTTAAAACGTTGTAAATTGTTACAAAATTATGCTTTACAGATGTAATTAATATCAATTATATTTACATATTTATACTCTATTAAATTTGTGTGTCGAGCTGAAAAAAAATGAAAAATAAATTGTTTTATCGATAAAGTTGTGCAATACTCAGTTCCTCGAAACCGCATTATACCTTTGAATCAACACCATTAAAAGTTTTTTAATTATTACCAACGATTAAAAATATATCAATAGATTACTTACTCATATACTACTATGTAATCTATAGTTATAATTTATTTGTATTTTGTTTACATAAACTTTGCTGTATTACACTTTTTGGGTGGATATTAAAATTAATTAAGCATTTTACTATTACTTAATTAACGTCTTATTATGTGAAAAAAAAATGTATAGATAAATTACTTTAAAAATAATTCAGGATTATTCAAAGAAATCATGAATATTGTACAATTCATTTTTGTAACTAAACTTTAAATTGAATTCGTTTTAATTTTTCTTTGTTGTTACAAAATAAAATATACTTAATGGGTTTTAAGTAATGTTCACGAACCATTGAAATAAGGGAACAATACACTATTTTCAAAAGATAATTTGAATGAAAATGTAATAATATTAAAAATAAATTTCAATTATTAAAAAGTATATACATATATAATATATTGATAAATTTAACAATTCATTTTATTACGTTTTACACACTAATTATTTAAATATATTAAATTAAGTAAGAAGAACAGTGAATAAATTTAACAATCATCTGAATACATTTTTAAGTACAGTAAAAATATGTTTATATTTTAAGTACTCTTCGTGATAGGATGCAAATCAATTTAACTTTTTGTTTTGTTATTATGTACTTATTGTTATTATTATTATATTTTTGTCAAACTTTAAATCATAGTGTCTAATATGTATAATATTTTTTTATAAACAAATTATAAATAATGTACACGGACTTGATAGGGATTATACTAGGAATTTCATAGAATCCTCTTGAGTGTTGTCGCTCCCAAGAAATATTTGTATTTTATGGATGGGAAACCTGTGGAGTGAACATGACAGTTAGTTAAGGAGAATCCTAAAATTCCTGACCAGATTTTCACGGATTCTCCAGTGAATTCTTCGTGCTATTAGAGAATACAATAATAATATTTAAAAATTTTTCTTATGGTAACAACGAGTAAATTGATAAGATGGACAAAAATACATAAATAAATATAAATTTCAAAATCTCTAATAAAAGAATAAAGTGGAAATAAAAAATGTTTAAAAAGATTTGCACTCCTAATATTTGTAATTTACGATTTAATTAATGAAATAATTAACAATATATAGTTTCATATGTATTGTATTTTAATTGCAATTTATCTATATTACAATTTAAATTTATACATTTTTTATGCACTGGACTCTTCTTTTTGACTGCCCATAATTTTTAAAATACAACCATTATTTATTATAGATCTATTTTGTGGATCATTATTTCCACAGGAGTTGTTTAATACACTCAACATAGCTTGCAATTTTATTATATGTCCTGTAAAAGCAGGTCCACACTTTGCAAATTCTACCATTAAGTTTTCAATTGATTCTTTGAGATTCTGCAATTCCTTAAAAAACATTTCAATATCATGCCAAATATAATATAATTTAATTATTTATGTGTACTAAGAATATGATTAAATTGTATAAAATATATGTTAATGAGTAATAATGTAAAAAAAAGAATCGATAAATTCAATATTTAAAATTTTTAACTAATTTAAAAAAATGGGAACTTTTTAAAATTTAAACCAACTTAAAATATTATCAGTTATATTTCTCAAATAAATTTAATTAATAATAATGCAGTAATTTTCATAAATTTACTTGAATTTCTGTATTATCCTTATCACTAATACTTTCATAAGAAGGTTCTATTGATTTTTGTTTTGAACTGTTCAATTTCAATTTAGAATTAGGAGCAAGTATTTTATTAGAAGATGCTTCATCAGTTCGATGTTCGCCTTTATAAATAATCAATGCCTTAAAAAGTACATTTTTTTATAAGAAACATTAAATACATTTTATTTATAAATAAATAAAATTAAATAAATTTTTATTTTAATAACACCTGAAAGAATTAATATACAAAAATATATAATGCAACCTGAAAATACCTTGCTTCCAAATAGGAGACCAAGTAATACTGTTACAGTTAGTTGAGCATGACAGAAAAAAATCACGTACTGTAAGTCTGGATTCGCTGGATACTTTAAAAATATCCTGAAATTAAAAGAGTAATATTAAAATATTTTAGGTATAATACTGTTTATCTTACGATGATTTTATATAGTATACATGCTTATGGACATATGGTTATTTTACAGTTCACTTATTTTACCTTGCCGCCTACCTGCTACTTAATTTTAATAAGACTATAATTTGATTTGAAAAATGTAAAATAGGCATATTTTAATTGTAAAATTTAGCAGATTATTCAGTGTACTTATACATAGTTTTTAACTATAAATCATAATTTATCTAATGTAGTCAACGTTCTTCATATTGTTTGTAATTTCAAAAAATGTATTATAATTCACAAAAAAAATATATATTACAACCAAGCTGTTATCTTTAATACTGATTTTATATATTTTCCACCCCGTAAAATCTCTTAGGATTAATTAGGCCAAGTATTTACCGTGGAAAAATATATTTTTATTTCAAAATTGGTTAATGACCTATATAGTTGGAAGTATATGTGAACAAGAAATTTTCTAAAACAATTTAAGACTGCTAGTACTACTTAGCTATTATACTGTTTCTGAAATAACTATTATTATCAAAAAATAAAATCAAATTCAATGGTCAGTTTACAAAGGATTTATGTGTTTCAGTAATATATTGATCAGTGAAAGTTTAAAAAGTTAATAAAAAAACAAATCTTAGGGGACAATTAAATAAAGAACAATTATTAAAGTTAATATTCTTTTATTAATTTTAAGTACAAAAATGACTATAAGGATCCTAATATAAGTGCAGGCGAGCGTAAATATGTCCTAAAAATGTTAGCCAAATCATATTAAAAAATATTAAACAACAAGCAGTTTAACCTAAATAATTTTCAATGGATAAAACCTCTTCAAGCACTTTTGATTTTAACATCATAAACCTTTAATAATTAATAATAAAAATATTCTTATTGGCTAATATTGAAAAAAAAAAAAAAGAAAATTTGGATCAATTGTAAAATAAAATGTATAAGTTTTGTTGAAAGAACTTCTAGATCAATGGGCTTTACAAAAATATTTTTGTTTAACTTTATAACTATTGGTATGAAAGGATTAAAGAAACATTTTATACTACAGAATTTTTTTAGAACGATATAACAATACCTATATAAGTTTTGTATAATAAATATTGAATGTTAAAAACACCTGTTCATCTTACCCCGAGTTTCAGTCCTTCCGATTTCCCCTCATATTTATTATTCCATAAATTTTACAATATAAAAAGCTATAACTATTAAAAACATGTGTACAAGCCACAACATACTCTGCATACTAAAATACGTTCTGACAGAAATTAATAACCCAATATCTACTCTACATTTCTCATTTCTGAGAATTGATTAATCTGTCAGTAAAAATTTGACGTTAAAATCACATTTATTTATATGCACAAATTGAATAAATAAATATTATACTCACATAGATACATTAAGAAAAACAGACATTATAAACTCATTGTAAATAGCTATTGATATAAATCGACTTTCATTGAATGCTGATGGTGTTTTCCGGACCATTACACATAAACGAATACCCCAAATTAAGAAAACCACTTCCACTATTTGACATACAAAAATACAGTAATAATTAATTTTCTACAAAATTTAACTTTAAAACCATTTTTACATTTTCTGGTAAGGCTTTGATATAAATGTCACAAAAATATTATATTTCATCATTAAAATGTCTAAATTAAGTTTAAAATATAAATTTGCTTTTTAAATTTATTAATTTGTTAAATTATTTATTTAAATATTCTTTAATTGTATTTATATTATCTAATCTATAATATTTTAAGAAAGCATCCAAGCATAATTTTTACAGTTCAAAAATTCTTCTAGTTCTATTGAAGACCTTAAGTATTATTACTAACTACATTCCATTCCAAGTTGATATTTTAACTATATTAAGTTACCGACTAACCTACATAATTACAAAAAAGCTTTTAAAATTAACTATTATTTAAATCAATTTAAAACCAATGACCTCGAATTAATTCTAGAAACAAATTTAAACCTTAAGCGGTTTACCAAATCACTCAAATGATTTTTGAAAACCCTATTCTTTAATTTAACATATAAGCTAAATGACTCTAATTCAAATAAATCGTCCATTACCAATAAATTTATTTTATTTTTACTATCATCACATAAATTAATGAACTTTCATATAATAGCTACTCTATTTAGAACAAAATTCAATTTTATTACCATGTGTTATGCTGAGGTTTAAAAATGAAACCTTTTTATATACGTATTGTATGCTTAAATTGAATTAATTTTGTTTAATAATTAAGAGAATTATGTACGAAGATGATGTATAATTATTTGATTTTAATTTTTAGTATACTTTTTAAGATAAGAATTTTTCTTTTAATGCTATGTACCTCGATTTCTCTTAAGCTATAACTATGTTAAGACAATTAATTTTGGTAATTTTTAGTTTCATATATTTCTTGATTTATCAGTTATTAATTACATTTTAAATACAGTACTTATATCTCATAAGGCTGACAGCTTAATTTTTTTCAATATACATATTTAACTAGCTTATAAATTAAAAAATTAATTAATTAAGAAAGAAGAAAATAATTAACAACATTTTACCGATTATTTTGGAATTTATTACCATTTACATAAATTATATACTAGACATCAGATGCGGGTATGACAATATTTACCATTAGGCAGTTCTTGGTTGTACCTTTCTTCTCACCTAGGTATAAAAAATTTCGGAGTACTTTTTCGAAAGTTGTTATAGACCAATCACTTTCTTAATTAGATAATTTCCTATTTTTTAAGCTAGTTAAAAATACAAGGTGGTTTGTTTTTAATTAGCCACTCAAATTATTTTTAAGTAATACTTATATTAAGGAAATTTATTTTGGTATTTTTTAGTTCCATATACATTTTGCAATTTCGAGAAGAGAATTTCAATGAGGTTCAAAGATAAGTTCTATACTAAGACTTTAGTGAGACCAGATATGATATATGGTTAGGAATTTTGGCGATTGACAAGAGAATGCGTGTAGCAGAGATGAGAATGCTAGATGGATGAGTGGAGTTACTAGAAAAGATAAGAAACGAACATATAAGAGAGAGTATAGGTGTAGCGTCAATCATGGATAAAATGATAAAAAATAGACTTAGATGGTTTGGTCATGTTATGAGGAGACACTGTAAGAAAAATTATAAAAATGAATGTTGAAAGAAAAAAGGTAGAGGAAGACCAAAAAAGAGATGGAGGGATGCTATTGAATGCGATATGCGGATAGCTGATGTGAGGGTAGATGATATGGGAAATCGTATCAAGTGGAAGTTTAGGAAAAGGGTGGCCGATCCCAAGTATTTGAAATTAAGGCGAGGAAAAAGAAGAAGATATTTCTCAATTTCTCAATTATTAAATATTTTTTAATTTATCTTTTATTCCTTATAATGGTATCAACTTTATTATTTTAAATATTAACATACATATATAGTTTATAAAATAAAAAATGAACTAATTAAGAAAATACAACTTTTTACCCATTATTAAAAAGTTGTTAACACTTTTAAATTTAGAGTAGAGAAAGATCGTGATAGAGTAATATGTAGTGATAGAAATTCTATAACTTACATCTCACCTTCATTATATATTTTTAAATAGTTATAACTGTTCTACAAAGATGTTTACGACCAATCAGTTTCCTAATTAGATAATTCTTATTTTATATCTAATTAAATGTGTATGTTGCAATTAAAAAAAATAAAGTTGACATCTTTATAAGTTATAAAGGATGGAATGAAAAAGTAATTAATAACTGATACATTAAGAAATATATGGAACTAATAAATGTCAAAAAGAATTTTATTAATATAATAATTATTAAAAAAAAATCTAGTGGATAGTATTAAAATAATCACTCTGTATAAAAAATATTTTATTTTATATTTCTATAACGTGCATAAAATTTTTAAATATTATACAGCATTGTACTTTTTTAAGCCTTCCTCTACTTAGAATTTATATTTTTTTGTTAATTTTTAACTTTTTATACAAAAATAAACAATAAAACGTTAAAAAAGTATATTACTAATACTTACACATAGAAAACGAGTGATCCCACCAATCAGTAGGACATATGTCTGTTTTCAAATTATCAGCTGTTCGACCAATTATTGTTTGAGGAGGAGACACCATAGTCCTAATGAATAGTATCACAGTAACAAATGTCACCATTAAAACTAGAAGTTTAATTAATTGTTTGTCTGTAATACGAACAGTCTTAGCTGAGTTTACTTTAAAAACTTGAGATACCCTGAAAAAAATTAATACATACAATTGAATAAGTTATTAAATTTTAGCAAAAAATATATTTTTATATTTTTAAATGTTTAACAATTTATTTCGAATTACCTCAACATTTAAATTATATTAAATTTTTATTTTAACGATTATTTTACCAATAATTTTCTGAGTAATAGTTGCTTTGAGAACAGTTTTTACAAAATTATACAAACTAATTAAATTGAATATTTATAAGAAAAACTCAGTTTTATCCAATTGGAAATATAATAGTGTAGTATATTAAATTTTCACACTTCAAAAGTCAATAAAAATACCTTTCATCAGCTCATCATTTTTATCAAAATTTTGCAGTGATTTTTTTTATTATTTTTGTAGATATTTATTTCAAATAAGTAATCACATATTGAGTGGTAGCATTGTCATAAAATATATACTGTAGTACTTTTCATTAATTTTATATTTTTTTTTGAAAAATATTAAACTTATTTTAATAAAGAAACATTTAAAGTTTATCTTCCTTTTAAATTCAAAATCAAGCTAAGATGATATTGTCTTAGCATTATATGTTTACATTATATTATTATCATAACAATACATATTTTTTATTCTAATATATTTATGCATTATTAAAACAGTACAATAATAAGTAAACTGTATAACTATACACTTGAAATTCTATTATTATAGCTGTTATAACAACTGTTTAAGAAATTTTATGTTCTCTTGTCAAGTAAATTGAAAATTTTAATTACCGTAAATGATATTTCAGTTTTGTGACACTTATGAGGTACATAATACCTGAAGATTGATTTTTGTCTATATAGCCGTTTTTTTACATATAGCTACAGGCATAGTCTTTTTGTTGTGATATTACTATTTTTACGACTAACTTCAATGTGCAGAACTGAGAAGATATTATTTTTACAGTTTTTTTTTTTTTAAATTAAAATTAAATAACTTTATTATATTATAATACAGATATATAGTTATTATTAAAGCTAGTGCCACGCATAAAATTTTTATTTGCCGCGTAATCTTACTCATACACCTTTTCTCTCTTTTACCCCCAAATTGTTGGACAACCGTTGTCGCCTTGTTATCAGTCGACCGGCATATAAAAAAAGTATGATTTATCATAGGGCAAGTTCAAAATAATTTTTTTCTTACATTTGTGTTTCATTTTAATGTAACAACGTTCAAATTGTATGCATAATATAGTGTGATAATTTACAAGTTTTCTTTGCTCAAGTATCCAAATTTCATTTATATACCAAATATAAATTAAATTATAAAAGTCTTATAAACCAATACATTATTCATATTATTAGTTAAGTAATCTTTGCATTTCAAACCTGCAAGTAGTTATTATATTAGTTAGAGTATTTACTCACTAGGGTGATTGAATTGCAGTCAAAGTTAACATAAATTTATTCCTATAATTGTGCCAAATGGCAAAGTGTATTACATTTATATTATTTATAAATATTATTATTAAATGATTATAGTAAGTCATACGGGTAACACATATTACTTTTTTAGTTGTACCTTTGATTAAAACTAATAATTATTGTACAATCACAAGGAAATGTTAATTGCTTACAAGGAAAAATGTTGTACTACATCGATTATCTGCTTATAATTTTGAAATTCTTGTTTAATAGTTGATTATCGCATTTTGTGTTAATAATACAATATTTTTTTGTAAGCCGACAAATTGGTGTTCCAATTTATTTAAGAACCTTTAATTACATCATCCTTACGCTCCTTATTTCTCTAGTGTCACTCGGTAAATGTGATAGTACTTCCACCCCAGGACGCAAACAATTAATATATGTTCGTGATTTTTTCCAACAAGATCACATAAGAATTTTTTTATAATAATATTAATTTAATTGACACTATATGTAGTAAGTAGCTTCCCTCATCTGCTGCATCAAGAAGTCCGCATACGAAACAAAATTGATTAAGGAACCGACAACGCGATACTCAGCCGCCGTCGCGTGCAATAATAGAGACCATTTCAATATCTTTTTTTGGTAAAAATGTTTAACATTAATACTCATAACTTCCGTTTCGTTAAATCGATTTACATGAAATTAGAACAGAGAACTTCTCAGTAACAAACTTTATGTTTTCACATAAACTAAGAGTCAATTGAATTAGTAATTTTATAGTTATGCTTGAGTAAAGAATATGAGACATTTTAAATAGGTTTATATGGAAACGTTATTGTTTGAAATAAAATACATTGTTGTAAATAAGCTTTTTTTCCCGCATGCAATTATCATTGCACTGATTATATATTTATTTATAAATGTTTACTTAAGAACAACAGTTGTACAATTTAACTAATAAAAACATCGTATTTAATTAAGCTTTTTTTTTCTGAATAAAAGTAATCTTCGAGTCATTTATAATATCAATAAATTTTTAATAGAACAGAATTGTATACATTTTTGAGAGGTTTATACAACGAACACCTAGATTAAAATTTCTGGTTAAAAAAAATAATAATAAAGTTTTATAATATTTTTTGCTGCTTATTTTATATATTTCTAGAAAAAATAAACAATTTTTTCATATGATTGCGGATATGTATTTTTAACAAAAATAATATTACGATGTACCTACTCAAAACAAACTGTTAAAAATTTGGACATTTATTATATTATATTATAAAATATTACATTTATTTATTTTAATTTTAACATCTAAATAGGAACCCTTCTTTCCTTATCTCGGAGTAAATAATATTCAATTTGATATATTTTGTGTCCTTGTAAACATGCCAAAAATGAAGTGCGCAATGTATAATTTTAGGCTTTAAAACTTTTTTGGCACCAGAATTTAAATTCTTTTGAAAAAATATAAAATAAAACCTAGAAAATATTTCTAAACACAACCAAAATCATATTTATATACTTCCCCATAAACAATAAATGTCTAGAAATATGGAAACAATATTCCTTTGGAAAATAATTCACTGAAGTCAGGCTGTTTTCATATCTCGTTTTTACTTTTGAATATTCAATGGTTAAAACCAATTATAAAATCATAGCTTTTTATACTAAGTTTTCTAAATGTACCTCCAAGTTTTTAGCATTAATGCTCCGTAAGTTAAAGAAAATCCGATTTCTCTCAGCCAATATCTTGCCGTACATGTTATTATATTTGGTTTCGGGTACATAACAATAATCTGAAAATAAATACGCTTTGTAATAAACTTAAACAATAATGTTTAAAAGTTATGAAATTGTGTTCATTAATTTTTGTTTAGTAAGTATTAATAAATTTTCATTCGAGAAATGCTGGCATATCTCATGTTAACAATAGTATAATAATTATGCTATTGGTTGCATAAGTAAAATATAAATCTCATGGACAAAATATAATAATAAATCCGATTATTTCTTACCGTAGTATAAATAAAAAATGCCCCAAGTATTATTATTTGCAATAAAACGGGACTGGCAGCTTTAACAATCTGTAATAAAATAAGTAAATATTCAAATGAACAGTCACATAAAAACAATTCATATCACCAATAAATGTCGTAAGAATATATTTTCATAAACGAAATTAAAAAAAAAATTTACTAATGATTATATTCGCCCATATAAAATGTCACATTTTCGATTGTCTTAATCTCTAAAGGCCACTTAAAACTTCATCTATGAATCTCAACAATTTAATAGTACCATAATTGAAATATAAAGTATTAGAAGTTCCAAGTGCCAAACAATTTTTTTCAGAATTAAAATTAAAATAAAATAAAATTGTAAAAAATTAATAAACATTTTTGTAAAAATATATATTGTACTAATTCTATGTAACTTCAACTTGATTAAATAAAATTAATACATTTTTTTATGTTATCATAGATAATAATTATTGTTAAATACTACTTATTTACTATAATTTTAATTACTGTAACTAACAAATTTTCTTAGTTGTACCAAGTACCAAATAATGTAAAACTGATTACAAGTATCGATATTTAATTTAAAATAGCAAATATTATACTTAATATAAAAAAAAAAAAAAAATTCAGTGTACAATAAATATTTATTAAATTTTAAAATGAATCAGAATTTAGAACAAACATGTGATGATGGATATGGTGCATAGAATGAAACTTTAAACGTGATGACGTGCAGGTTCACATTTAAGGGAGCACTGGGTGCACGTGCTCCGTGCGGCTGGTTTTTTAGGATAACACTAAAATATGAAGTAATATAAATTTTAAATCATTTTTTTTTTGTAACTTCAAATGAAAAAAAAATCGAGAATATTTTCTTAATAAGCTAAATAAAAATAAAAGGTCAATGAGGTGGCACAGTTCCTACAATAATCAATAATTAGGAATAAAACACTTTTTCATTTTTTTGATACTTAGAATATTTGACTTTCACCTTTCAGATATTAATAAAAAATTTTAAAAAATGTCTTTTTTTAAGTAAAATTTTAATTTTTTGATATCATAATAACGTTTGCACTATAGTTCATATAAGTCATATCATAGACGAAAACGAATCAGGTAAGCTAATTATTTTCCAATGACAAAGTAAAAATATTTTAGTTATATATTGCATTATTATAATGCACTTCCAACATCTTGAAAAATATATTTTAGGACCAGAGATTAAAATTGATAAAATTTGAAGAGAATGAGTTCCACTAACTCTCTTAGAAGACATCTCTTATAAAACGCCCGCTTTTACATTTCTTCGAATTTTATGAATTTCATGAATATGTAAAGTAAATCAATTTAATTGGAATCATAGCCACTTACGTTTTTTTCGGACATTTTCAGTATAGTTTTTTTGAAAAATTACTTTTTGTTTTATTATTTGTGCTAAAAATATTTATTGATCTAATTTGAAACTAAAAATAAATATTTTTATATTTTACAAGTCAATATCTTTAAATATAAAATTTTTGAGGCGTTTTTGATATGGCCAAGATTTAATAGAGAATTTCTTTAAAACTATAATATGATACAAATATGAAATAGTACAAATACAGTTTCTTATATTGATTTTATAGATTCAAAAAATTGGATATTACATATTATAATAAACTGTACTAAATCACACTATAATATTATAATAAAATAAATTGTATATTATTTTAAATCCATAAATAATTTCATATTTACCTTAAGATCATTATATTTGTAAGTAAAAATTGCAACCATTGGTAAAAATCCAATAACTAGCAAAGTCAATAATAATACAGTGATACGAAGTATTATATCGTATGTAGCAATACATGGACTGAAATCAACACAATCATCACATCCCTCTGCACATTTCTTACATTCAAAATTGCCCTTAATATTGTAAGAACTTGGTTTGCTCTAAAAACATCAATAAGAAAATATTTATATATATATATGTACACAATGATCGAAATCTGGTAAGACACTTATTTTCTCAGAAAATATTGAGAATTTAAAATTTTATTATAGAGAAAAAATATCAAGTTTATAAAACTCTACAATAATATGAAGTTAAATAATTTTTTTTTTTTATCCCTTTAGGGATAAAAATGTTTATTTATAATTTTTTTTAAATAGGAACCACTATTTTTGATTTGATAATATGATAGAAAAAAAAAATTACAAACAATTATGTTCTTATAATTTTTTTTATCTAAACAACCGTTTACGTTTTATAATTGTTTAAAGATTTAGACTTCCAGAAAAATATTGTCATTTATTACGTTTCATAATATTGGTGGCAGTGCAACCGGTATTTTTTTTTAGATCCTTTAGTCTTACAAAACCATAGACTTAGCTATTAATAATACACCGAAAACCCGGTTTGAATCTATTATTGTTATCACTCATTTAGTGCGTAGTAAATTTTTATAGCTAATTTACCTGTCATAACTTGATCAATAAAATTTGGTTTATGCAACAGCAAATAAAAATAATGACTTTTGTATTTAATACAGTAAAATGACAATAGAAATTTGCCCTAAAATCACTTAACTTTAACAAGCTGTAACGGACGAACGGTTAATCGAATAAAAATAATTATAAGAACAAAATTGTTTGTAATTTTTTTTTTATCATATTATAAAGTTAAAAATAAGGGTTCCCATTTAAGAAAATTATAAATAAGGGTTTTTATCCTTGAAGGGACGAAAAAAATAATGGTTTGATTACATATTATAGTAGACATTTTTAAACTTGATATTTTTTCTCTATAATAAAATTTTAAATTCTCAATATTTTCTGAGTAAATGAGTGTCTTACTAGATTTCGATCACTCTGTATATATATCAATGTAATTTTAAAATTACATTGATATACAGCATATTATGACGTCTATGTTAGAACAAGCGTACAAAGTGTATCATAAAAAATATATTATAATCTATAAAGTACCCTTAGAGATCTTAAAATTAATATTTTTCTCTAATTTACCTATTATCAGTGCTCGAATTGGGGGGGTGCGCAGGGGGACGTAGCTCCTCTACTTTTTTTTAAATTTTTTTGCGCACCCCAACTACTTTTTTTTATTGTGACGGGAGGACGGTGGAAAATACCACCTCTTTTTTTTTTTTTTAAATATTAGTATGATAATGAAATATGATTTATTAATAAATACTAAATCAAGTAATGAGTAAAAAAAAAAAAAAGGTCTTCAAAATACTAGGGACGCAGTTTTCAAATTGTTAAGTTGAGCTCCCCTACTTATTTTTGTCCAATTCGAGCACTGCCTATTATAAAATGAAATAAATTATGTTATACTGTAAAAATAATTAAATTCATATTTAAATGAACTATTTTCTAAGATAAAGACTCTTTAGTTTAACTAATATTTTATGAAATTATTCAATAAAACTTCGAAAATACCGCTACCAAAAATGTAGATAACGATATTAATATTGCCTACAAAAAAGAAATATTATTTTTTGTGAAAAAAAATTTATTTTAAAATAAAATTTGATACTAAAATATTAAATTCACATCACTTGATTAAATTATACAGAGTGATCCATTTAACATTGACCAGCAAATATCTTATCTTATCTAATATGTGTCTTTACGAGCCATCATAACCGCTGCAATTAACTACCTGTATTACAAGTCTACCCGTTTTATACATATATATAGGTAAAAAAAATCAAAACTTTAAAGTGAAATAACATGCAAACTAATCGACTTAAATGAAAAATTCAAACGCTAAAAATTATAAAAAAAAAACTCTATCAATATATCTAACTAAAAATATATGTTTCCATTTGAAAAAAAAAAGTTGGTACCCTTTTAAGGCATAAGGGATGAACCTAAAAATTATCTGATCATGGATAAATGTAGAGTTTTATGTAACTAAAATAATTAAAAAAAAAAATTATTAAAATAATAAATAGTTTTTGAGATATTTGCTGGTCAATGTTAAATGGATCAACCTGTATATAAACTAAGTTCCACTCCTAGGCTACTTCGGCGCGTTAGGCCTTTTGGTTCGTCCCTATAGGTGCATGGTAATTGTTTTGCAAAAAACATACTACTTCAGAATCAGTGTAACAAAATTGTAGTAAAATAATAATAGATAAAATGAGGAAAATTCAAAGAGAAAAAATAGTAAAATGTATTTGGGATAAGGTCGACATTTTTTTACTATGGTAAATCAAGAAATTGATAAATCTCCTATAACTGAAAATTTATTGACACATAATCGCTTATTAAAATCATAAAACTAAGTAAAAACGTTAATAATTACAAAGAACTTAATATAAGAGAGGCAATAGAAATTTTTAATAATAATGATAATTTAATAAATTCAGATTTTGCACACTGTAAAATTCATTAATAAACAAATTTAAACTGGCAAAATGTGATATTCGACTAGGTGATAACATCACTTATATTAATAAGTTATAGCAATAACGTCATTAGGTGATAAGGTCATAAAGGTATAAAAGACCATTTTTCTGGTGGAGTATTTAGCGTTGATGTTGGTAGCATTATTACCGAAATACGTATCCATGATTTTTTTTTTTGTAATTTTTGTAACTTCTTATGTAAAAAATATTTTTATTCTTAAATTAATCTTCTTTTTTTTTTTTTATTTGGGGTCGATCTTTTGGGACTATTTTTCTCATTAATGACCACATTATAACCTCTTTTAGTACTCTATCATATGCTTTCTCCAAATTTATAAATACCATATACAGCTATTTCTTCTTTTTTCTATAGTTTTCTATTAGTTGTCTCACACAAAAAACTGGCTCAAACGTTGACTTTCCTTTCAATTGCTACTACCAAATCTTCGATTCTACTCCTGTTTTCTTTTTGTTATTGTTTACTGTCTTCCCAACACACCTCAACTCCATTACCATCAGTGAATGTTATATTGTTATACAGGGATAACTTTACAATATTTTACTCACTTTTCACTTTCTCTTTTCCACATAAAATAATCAATCTATGATCTATTACTTCCACTCTTATAAGTTATATAATGTTCTTCTCTTTTTCTAAAATAAGTATTAACCACTGCAAGATTATACGATACGGCGAAATCCAGAATTTTTTCTACAGTCTCATTCTAAAACCATACCCCCCCACCTTGTAATTTTCATAACCTCTCATCCTCTCATTACCGACAAGTCATTACCACGTATTCATTGAATAACCTCATCTATCTCTTTCCAAAACACTTCACTATCTATTTCAATACATTCTACTTGTGGTGCATAGGCACTTACTATATTCTACACTTTTACCTAGAAAATTAATTTTATGACTATAATTCTGTCACTTTTTCTAACTACTTCTACTACTTTACTTTACTTTCTTACTCCTCATTCATTATTATCCCTATACCATTCTTTGTATTACCTAAGTATATTATTTTATAACCTCCACCTCAAGCTCACAAAATGGTAAAAAATTAACAGTTTGAGATTTTTTTTTTGTGATATTTTATAAATGACTTTGGACGGGTCTGGTGAAAATTTCAGACTTTCAAATATGAAACGGTAACATCAGTGGACATTTTCAAGAAAATGGTCCAAATTTTTAAACGTTCCCGGGCGATTGTCAAAAATTTCGCAAGAGTCACATTATTGAGTTGGGTTTACTTAGAGTAATTTCGTTGAAAAAAAAAATTAAAAAATCGGAATATGTTAAGTAATTATCCAGTCAAGTGTTTTTTCCCTTTATTAAATTATTATATTTAATCGAATTACCCAATCTTGTATGGTAATCAGTGGCGTAGCCAGGATTTTAAAATGCTATTATAAAAAATCTATAAAATTCTACATTTTGGACATTTTTTTTTTGCTCATCACTTAAAAACGAATATTGCTTTCAATGAAGAACCAGGGTGCCCCATTCTATTTGGTTGCGTCATTGAGGATAATTATAAAATTAAAACTGACCAATGTGAGTTTTTCATATTCTTCTTCGAGTAGTACACCATTAAAGTATTTTTGTTTGGTAGTTATGTCTGGGAAATAATATCCTTTACGACATACACATTTATAACTTCCACGACGAAATCCAAAGCCAGCCAACGAGACACACTAAAAAATATTGTTATAATATATTTAATTAACGTTTTTTTTTATGAAATAATATATTTGATTTTTTCATTTTCACATGGAAATTATAAATATACGTGTGTTAAGCAATTTTACGTAGAATGGGTTATTATATTGAAACAAACTTAAGAATTTAAAATCTATTTAATGTTTGATAATTATCAAACATTAAATAGATTATAATTAAAAATTATAAATTTACACTTACTTGTGTTGTTTCATTTTTACATTTATTTGATGAAGCAAATATATTTAATTTTGTACTTCTTTCAGGTAAACTACATTGATCGATATCCACTCTTCTTAAATCTATATCAATGCCACTCGTGCCTCTAAAAAATCATTTTAAAAATACATTTACACAACCATTTTAAGTTCACGCCAACTATGAAATATACAATGGGGATTAAAATATAATTTCATGTTAATTTTTTTTTGTCAAAAGACTGAAAATTTTACGTGGACTTAGAGTAAGTTCGAAGCTGGACAAAATTAAATTAATATCAAACTGTTTATTGCAATATAAATTATTATACAGTATAATAAAGGACATTTAAATATAATTAATCCTATTATAAATATTATTTGATCAGTGATGTTTTATATTTAAGGATAAAAGGATTATTTAACAAATATTAATAATTCGGGAAAACAAATCATTTATAGCTACTCAATTCATTAATAAGGTTTTGCGCTGTGCAGTGAGTATAATTTGTTTCATACTCATAATATCACCATTTTGACCTATAGTCATGTCGACTATATTTATTGTCAATTTTATAGCTTTCATCTATAAAAAATTCAACTTTGCTTCCTGATTATACAGAGTGAGTCTATTATTGTGAATCACTGAATCACTTGCAGGATAAAGATAATTCTCAGAATTGTCCATTGAATTATTGCATATTTAAACATTCTTTCATCAATCAATCGAAATATTAATTAAATTCATACAATTCAATTTATACTCAGCGGTGATCGAATGACTATTCCAAGGGGGGGATGAAAAACCTTTATGATAAATATCGTCATGGGAACTGTGCCCCAATACCAAGAGCTTTTTATTTGTATTACTATATCAAGATGTCCTTAAAGATTATTAGATATCCATAAATGTCATTTTTTCTTCTATTTTAAACATATAATATACATTTATTATGTACCCAGTTAGAATAGTACCTCATTTAATGTACCAAATAAATAATAACCCAAACTTAAAATTTAATCTTCTAAATATTTAGGATTAATAATTTTTCCATATTGATTCTGCTTAATAACTTTTAAATTGAATTATCATGTATAAAGTTTCCAATATATAAAATATAAATTGTCAAAAAGGATATGTCAATGGAGTAAAAAGATTTACCCCTTTAATCCCCATCCTATTGACCACCACTACTTACTTATAAGGATATAAACTATTTTTTTTTTATAACATTTTTTGTATAAAATACATATTTAATTAGATTATACTTAAGAAAATATTTTACTTAAGAAAAAAATTATTGGTCTATAATACCTTTTGTACCATTATAGCAACGATTTATATATAATTATGTACAATTAATGTATAATATAATTTTCAAGTGTATATCACATCACGGCGAAAAAAAAAAAGTCATTATGCACAGACGGGGGAAAAGCACGACTAAGGAATTACTAATAATTAAAATATTCATAAATTATATTTCAACGTCATTAAATATATAGATTACTATCTAAAAAAATTAAGTCAATGCATATAATATATAGTTTATAAATTTATACCTTATATCTAAATTATATTATTATATTATACACATTTCTCGACTTTTTTTTTATCCTAAAAAAACCAAAGAGAAAACGATTCTAAAAAATAATTTCTACGTTGCAAGTAATTAAAATATTTGGATTGAAAGGAAAATTTATTTTTTAAATATTAATAGTAATTAACTTTATAATTCTTCAACTAAGTCATAGCTTAGCTATATATGCTATATAACTATAAAAAATAATTTTAAAAAAACATCTGAGGCTAAAACATGTGTAAAGTTTTAATAAATTATGTTTAATTAAAAAAAATTAAAGCCAATGAGTCAATGTATTACCTTCAGTATGCTGTCAAAAAAATTTTCGGACTTAAGTATATATTTTTGGTTTTTAATATACAAAGTGTTCAGTAAGTAAGGAAACAGGTAAATTATTATAAACAATGAGAACAATAGAAACCCGTTTCCTTACTTACTGTTCAGTAAGTAAATAGATATATAGAGTGTTCACTCTATATATCTATTTAGCAGATAAAAAGAGAATTAAATAATATTTGTTGATATTAAATGTTTACTGATTATTTTCAACTTTTCCAAAAGATTTATCAGGAAGGCAAAAATCTCATTAGAAAATAATAATCCTTGTCTTTTTTCAAGTCCGTTTTTAGTGATACAATTATAATTTAACTTTTTCGTAGCAATTAAATAAACAATAGGGATGACATTTTTCTATATTTTCTTTTGGCTTATTTTAAAAGTACGTTTTTTTCAATTAAGTTTTATTAGATAACAAAGTAAATAATTTAACTTATTTGTAACATCTGGATGATGAATAAAAATCCAGTGATAATTTCGACTAGGCCAAACATTTTACTTCTACTTAGTTAAGTGTAATTATACTTTTCTTAGTGAGAGATTATTAGAAGCAAATCTCAACTAAAATCAAATTACAAACATTTTCTTTTCTTAAACTTCAAAATTAAGTTAATATTAAATCTGGAGATTCAATACTTTATATTAAGAATAACGCCTGGTCACATATCTTTCTATATTATACTTTCACGATTTAAATAATAAAAATGTTGTAATTATACAAAAATCAAAAAAGTATGTTACTGCTATAAAGTGTAAGTGTGCTAATAGATATATATTAGACTTACTAGAAAATTAAATTTATACACATTTAAAGAAACACAAATATTGTATAACATTAATCTCAAAAAACCATTAAACAATTTTTTTTTTATCCTAATTAAAACAAATATATAAGGTAAACTATATTTAAAATTATTTAACTACTAGAAACAACTTTTGCAAACATTTCAAATTAATTAATAAAATAAAATATTCACAAAATACTCACTTAAAAAAGTATCTTCCGTTTTTAAAATCGAAAAAAGGAACTGTGTATGTGAGCATCCATATATTTCCACCTCCACAATCATAATAAGGCTTACTCCATTTACCATCTTCATAAGTTACTGCGAGTATATCATCTGAGAAACTTTTCGTGTGACTTGTCTGATTCCACGTGTAAGTATTTATTGCTAAAATGAAAAACAAAAGTATAATATGTTGTTAGTAATTATAATTTATTATGTATATAAAAAATGTATGCCATAACTTTTTCTAAAAGAATTATGGTATTATATATGACAGTCATATAAACTTATACGTTATGTAAACTAATGTATTATTCTCTCTTTCACTCTAAACTAAACAAAACTTTGTATTATTATCACAATATGAATTTCAAACAAAAAATATTTTTTACAAATATTTTCTATAAAGGATGTATATAAAGTAATAATTTTAAAAGTATACAATTGTTTTTGTTTTTTATAATACTAAAACGATAAGATATTATTTAAGAACAATATACGATTTTGAGCAATTGTGTTCTTTAATACTGTCAAATGGACCAAATTAGGACAGTTAAATATCTAATATCATTGAAATCGTATTAATCTTTAATATTAGTAAAATATTTATAAGTACTGTCGAGAAACATAAAATATATGTTGTCAAAATTCGTAAAATCGGATTTCTTTTGTATTTTTAGTAATTAAATATGAAATACTAAGTATCTTTTCTTTAAAATAAATAAATTTACATTAGATTTCTTATGCTATAATAATTGACTTTTAACGAGAAATGTGCTTGCTTATTATAGCGACATGTCAGCAAATTTGTATACTACACTAGCAAAAATAAAATGAAACATGAATATATAGATTTATTTTGTAATGATTTAGAGCTCTAGTCCTATTCCCCTATTTTTTTCCTATTAAAATAAATAAGAAATTATGAATACACCAATATAAAAATTATTAAAAATAATCACCAGTACCCTATACTATAAAAATTATATTTCCTTTTTAATATTGAATCAAGATTGATTATTGTTTTATGCAAAAACTTTTTAAAACTTATTTTTTTTAATTATGTAGTTGGATGAAGTCCTTGCACTGTACTATCTATAATTGTTGGAACAAAGGTAAATTATTTTGTTTACTACACTGATCATTTTTAACGGAAAAAACTCTTATCAACTAGTATGTCTGTTGTTCATTTCAAATTATTGATAATATATTATTTATTGTATTAAATTAACAATTCTTTAAATAAATTTAAATTTATTTAAAAAAAAAATATTTCTTCTAGTTAAAATACACAGAAAAATATGACGTGGGAACCAAATCGAACAATTATAGGAAAAAATATGAATGTTAAATCTAATATGTATGCTGAATATAATAATTTGATTAAAGAACTTGAGCAATACATGCCACAGTTTAAAGCTTCAATGAAAGATTTACAAGAACCATCACAAACTTTTGTTACAAATTTTTACACGGATGTATTCAGTGAATTTTTCTGTGATGTTAACAATTTAACAGAGGTATAACAGAGTTAACCAATTTACAAATGAATGTTTTATTTAAAATTGAATAATAATATTTTATTAGTAATTTATTGATATTTTTTTTAATGGTAGATTCAAGTTACTCAAAATCTTACATATAATGAAATGTATGGTGAAACAGTACCTATTTTAAATATGTGTATAGCTTTGCGATACATATATTCAAAATTAGGAATTGATGATTTTGGTTTGAATGACATTTGTGATCCAAGTGAGAAATTTTAGGATCTTTTGTAGTATGGGACATATAACAATAATTTTACATTTTCGCATATTAAATTCAACTGATAATAGTTAATTACTATCATACATAATGATATAATTCAACAGATCTTTAAAATAGTTTTTTTATAAAATTAAATTTTAGTTCATGAATTATAAAACTGTTTAATTTTACTTTTACTTTAAATTATTTATTTTTTTATTGATTCTATATAAATAAAAATATTTTACAAATATTAAATTTTATTATTTTACTACATTTCAGGTCCAAAAAGAACTTATCGTCTATTGCAAACTATGATCAATTTTATCAAATACAGTGATGAAAAAATTAGTGAAGCTGATGCCCAAATGAAAGCTGTTAGAAACATGAAAGAAAAAATTGATAATTTGAGAAAACAAAAAGATAATCTTAAAGAAACAATAAACCAGAAGTCATTACATCGTAAACAACGAGGAACTGAAATAAAATCTGTAAGATATAGCAATTAAATTATGAAAAACTATAGTTATCAGTAAATTATAAACATTTTTTATAAAAGTTAAATCTAAAAAATTTATTTGCAGGTTGCTGACGAAGGAAAAAATGCTAGAATTGAATTAATGGATATCCAAAAAAGTAAAGAAGAAATATTAAAGGAATTAGATAAAGTAAAACAGGAACAAGAATCTGTTGAAAAACAATGTTCCTTATTAAGTGAACAAAGAGATAATGTAATTTTACTAAAAATTGTTTTTAATTATATTTGAGTTATATAAATAGCAAACTTGTTTTTGTTTTATCAAGATAATAAGAGATATAAATTCATTGAGAAATCAAATAGTAGAAGCGCCTGATCTTCTTAAAGCTGATCTTGAGAGGTTAAAAAGAATGAAAAATGAAGTAACTGAAAAAAAAACTGCTATGATGGGTCAAGTTAGTGCTAAAAAACAAACAGTAATTACTTTAGAACAAGAATTATCTGCTCAAGAAAAAAGATTACGTTTATTAACAGATATCACTGAAAAAAATGATAGACTTCTGTAAGTATATTTTTGGATATAAATTGTCTTTTTATGACATTAATATTTATATATCAATATTATATTAAATATAATTTTTACTCAAAACATATATATATATATTTAAAAAAAAAAACAGTGTGTGTTACGAGTATGCGCAGATGAAGCAAAACTTCTTTCAGAATCATTCAACTAATATTGGGATTTCATTGGAATGAAATAAAAATATACACCTAAAAAATTTTTTCCCTATAGAAATTAATTTAATTTATTATTAATTATTTATTCTTATTCTATTGCCACGAAAGATATAATGGTCTTATGATAAATGAAATAATTTTAGTAACTTTTTGATTGGATATTTTGAATATATTGTGTAAAAATTGCATCTATTGTGGTTCTCTAAAAAATTTTTATGCACAATAAAATTATTTTAAATTAAATTATTTAATGCCTTTTAAATAACATTTTTTTTTAATCTTGAGAATACAGTATTCAATTGTAATATAAAATATACTTTATTGCTTATTATTATTAATAAAAGTATATACATGGTGATTGATTAAAAAAATTAATTAAGAAAACAAATGATCAATAACAATTTTGGGACCAGTATTTCATAAGTTATTTACAATTGAAAGCAATGAATGGTGGCGAGGAATAGATGCTGCTATTTTTATCACTAGTCATTTCCTGGCCATACTCTCCATCCCACCTAAATATAAAAATAGCATTAACATCCAAAGTACTGGTCCAANTCTCCATCCCACCTAAATATAAAAATAGCATTAACATCCAAAGTACTGGTCCAAAAAAATAATTATCAACCAGGAATTTTCTTAAACATTTATTTTTATTTACATTTATTTATTTTATTAATTAATTGTATAGCTATTACATTTATTTATATTATATATTTTTAATTATTTGTTTATATAAATAAATTTAAGGGTTAGCCTAGCCTAATGGATAGAAACATGTTTTGGTGTATGGGGTCCTAGGTTTGATCCCCAGGGTGCCAACAAGACTTTTCTCGTGATTTTCTCATTAGTGGTATCTGGTCTTTGGTATAAGTCGACCATAATACCCGTCCAATTCATCATTTGTCTAGCTAAGAACCATCTTTAAATCCCTAACTTGTGAAAGCTAAGTGGGCCACCTCTTCAATGATTTTTTTGGACCCTCTTTAAAGAAGTTTAATTTCAAAAAATTATTTTATTATAGAAAAATAAATCAGGAAATTGAAACTATGCTTCAAGAAAAAAGCGAATCACTGGAATTGTCTGAAGATTTAAAAGAAAAAATAGACTTTGCAGAACATGAACGTGCTAATATTAATAATAAAATAACAAATATTCTAAAAGATATGGAATTTGAAAGAAATGCCATGAAATCCAAATACGATTTATTAGAAAAGTATGTTAAATTTAAATGTTTCACATTAATTCTTTTTCTTTCATTATTTTATTTTAATTATTCATATATTTTTAATACAACATTAGGATTGATAAAAAGATAAAAAATTATATCTACAAATCTAGACTAAATTATGAAGCTTTAATTTTAATTTTATTTTTTTATTGAGGATAAGTATTCTAAATATTTATTAGTTTTTTAAAAAATTAATATACCATAAGAGTATTATATTTGTTTTATTTTATAAGGAAGTAAAATATTCAGAAATATAGTTTGGCTACTAAGAAACGCTTCAATGCAAATCTGTAGTTAGTGTTTAATTTTAAGAAGTTGAAGGATTATTCAAAAGCAAAATTCTAACTCGGAAAGAATTAAGGAAAAATTGCAAAAAAATAATTGCCACAGACAATGATTTTTACTGAATACATTTNATAATTGCCACAGACAATGATTTTTACTGAATCGGTATACATTTGTCGCATTCGTTTGTTTGATAAAATTGGCAATTTAAGCTAATTTAAATGTTTTTATTAATGTGTTCGACTTAAAAGAAATAACTCAAATAAGTTTAACTTTATATTTTATAATAATTAGTTTTATATAATATTCATAAAAATCAGTAAATCTTATTATAAGGTATATTAAAATAAATTAAAATACAATACCAATAATTTTAAAACAAAATAGCATATTTTTGAATATGATAACTATAGTTCAAATTTTTTTTTTCATAGTATAGTAAATTACATAACCATTAATTTAAGATTAAATAAAAATATCAATATTTCCGAAACACTTTCAAAAATTAAGTTGAAAAAGTTAAACTTGTGTATAAAAATTGTTTTTATGAATCCCCTCTGTGTTCATTATTCAATAAGTTATGGCAATGTTTAGAAAAAAAAGTTTAAAAAATGTTGAAATTTACCGATTTTAAAAATTGTTTTTTTGGGGGGGGGGGGATTTTCACTATTTAAGGGGAACGACTGAAAAATTTTTATATTTTGAAGTTGATGTCTTTATTTTGATACAATTTGTGATCTTTCAACGTATCATTGAGAAAATTGGTCCAGTGAGAGCTGAGAAAAAATAGTGACAGACACAAAAAAAAAATAATCATCTCATGGTAAAATTAATACCTTCTCATCAAAGCTAAAATATATATATATTTTTTTTCTTTTCAAAAGTAATTTTTTAATTAGATCACTTTATATTTACGTTTATATTAAAAAAACTCAATTTGAAATAGATTTAAGATTTAAGAGTTTTTTTAAAATTTTTGAATGTTAAAATCTTTACAAATTTAAGAGAAAAATTACTAAATTTCTATGTAATTCTGAAAATATTATAAATATCATTCTATATATAAATACTATCTTCCAAGAAATAAAATGAATAAATCCTAGATTAAACACTTTTAAGGAGAGTAATTTAAATTATTACATTATTTATTACTATAACTCTTAATTTTAAAAATGGTTTTTATGAGTTAAATTTTTTTTTAACTGCAAAAATCAATAAAAAGTTTTTATTTCAATAATACATAAGACTATAATGAGTTATTATTTTATTATTGATCACTAGATTTTTCTTTGTATAAAAAAAAATTGTGATTTATGTTATCTAATATTTTTTAAGTCTATTCCTTATTAGAGTATCTTTTTTTTTTTTTGATTATTGCATACCTAAAAAAATGTTACAAAATTATCCAACTATGAAAATAGCAACTTAAATCAGTATTTTGGAAGCTACATACGTTTTAAATGTAGACTAAAGTGGAGAAATGGGTTAAATTATTTTTATTATTATAACACTTGGTCATGCTACTCTATCCACCAGGTATAAAAATATTCATAACTCTTGAGTTCAAAAATTGAATATGAGCTAGTTAAATATTTATGTTGCCACAAAAAAAAATGGTATTCTTATACAAGAAACTTAAATAAATCAAAAAAAAAATTCTCGAAATCATTATTATTTTAAAAGAAATGTAGTAGTAAATAATAAAACATACATAAAAACAGCTACAATGAAAAATGGGTAGGTTTACTCTCTTCTTTACAAAAATAACTATACTCGTTTTCTTTAAAATCAACATATATTCTATTTGTTTATTAATATTTTTGTAGGGAACTAGAGGAAAAAATAAAATATAAAAATAATCATTATGAAAGCATTAAGTTGTTAGAAAATGAAATAAGTAGATGCTCTTTACAAAGAAAACAACTTGAAGAAGATGTTCAAATTATCATGCAAAGCTTTGAAACTACCAAACATTTTCTTTTAACACAAGTATTTAAATTAAAACTTGCCTATTAGTTTTATAAAAATTAATTAATTTTTTTTATAGCAAAATGAATACACACAAGAAATTTTTCGCCAATTACAAAAGATGAGTGATGTTCCGTGTAATACATATTAATTAATAGATTTTATTTTCAAACTACTAAACAAAATAAGGAAATAACACATTTTACTCAAAATGAGAATAAGTTTGAGATATTTTTATTGTTAAATTATATGACAAATAATATTTAATTATTATGAATTATTTGATTGATTTTTTTTTCTACTTACTAATTTATTTGTTTAAGTTATTTAATACTAATAAAATAAGGTTTGCTTATATATTTGGTGTATCAACAAATTTAATTTTAAAATAAATTTTTAATTATCTTATTTGGTTAAGTAATTATTTTTCAAATATTTTGAAAGTTTCATTGAATATAGAAGTGGATACAAAAAACCCAGCACAGGGGGTCGCGGCACAGTGGTGATGTGGCATAGTTGGATCAAGTATAATGATATCTGACTGTGATTAAAATCACTAACATAAAAAACACTTCGATGCAAATCTTTAGATAGTGTTTAATTTTAAAAAATTAGTGGATTATTCCAAAGGCTACATGATCTTCTATTTCCTTATTAATATCCTCATGAAGTTATAGTATGTCGAATGAAAGATGTACATAAATACTACTTCTCATGAAAACATTGTATTGATCCTTACATTTTTTAAAAAGTTATAGCATTTTGAAGTAAAAAATGTAAAACATAAAATCGAAAATTTTCACACAAAAATAGCATTTGGTAGCCATTTTCACCGTGAAGACAAATGTATAAAAAAAAGTTATATTGATTCGGTTATTTTTAAAAAAGTTATAGTAATTTTAAGTAAAAAAAATTGAAAAAATTTCGAAAATTAGCGATTTTTAAATTTGTAATTTTTTTAGATACTTCCCTCATTTACGGGGAACGAGGGAAAATTTTTCAATTTTTAAGGGTAATGTCTTTGACTAGATACGATTTGTGATCTTTTGACGTATCGTTGAAAAAAATCGGTTCGGTGAGTGCTGAAAAAAAGTGGTAACAGACAAAAAAAAAACATATTATAGTAAAACCAATACCTTCTCAGCTTCGCATCGAAGCTAAAAAATAATTTGGTAGTATATAAATTTTAATCTACAAAAAAAATGTTTTTAAATATATATTTTTGTTGTTAAAAAAAATAATTTTAGCTTGAAACACAAAGATGAATGCTATTTATTAAGAAATTATATTACTTGCTGTCCTAAAAAAATTTAAATACACATAAACTTATGCTCTTAGTTAGTTAAATAGAAAATACCTTCTCAGCTTAGCATCGAAGCTAAAAGATCTGGCAAGGAATTTGTTCCAAATAGAACAGATTCCTAGAACAAAATATGTTTGTAGAAACAAAGCTAGGAACTCCTCTTTTAAAAATAAGGAGCAAGGAATATAAATGAAATTTACGATTCCTTAACATTTATTCAAAAAAAATTTCTTTGTTTCTAGGTATTATAAATAAAAATGTTCGTAAACAATATTTTTTCCATTAAAATCGACAACTCTAAAAATCGTCCCCACGTCCAATGCAATGGACACAATTATTATCATTCATTTATATAATAATAAATTGTGATAGGCATATAATTTTTCCATATTATGTTATAGAATGTTGTTTTGTACACATTTGATTATAATTATTTTGCAAGTTAACATTGAATAAAAAAAGAAAAAATGATAGCTTTTACATTTTGAAATTACTGAAGTTTTTTACATAGTATTGATAATAGAATGTTTAAAATATGGTGGTTGTTAGTAGTAACAACAAAAATATAAAGTGCACTTTACATTTCTAAATGACAACTACGAATAATATTTGGGATTTATTTGTCATTATAATCGATGGTAAACAGCTATAAAACAAAAAGTCCAGTATAATAAATAAATATTTTTAATATAACATTAATTTTAAATAATCTTATGTTACTATAAAGTGAATTTATTTTTTATAATAATATTAAACAGGGAAAAAACANCATAGTATTGATAATAGAATGTTTAAAATATGGTGGTTGTTAGTAGTAACAACAAAAATATAAAGTGCACTTTACATTTCTAAATGACAACTACGAATAATATTTGGGATTTATTTGTCATTATAATCGATGGTAAACAGCTATAAAACAAAAAGTCCAGTATAATAAATAAATATTTTTAATATAACATTAATTTTAAATAATCTTATGTTACTATAAAGTGAATTTATTTTTTATAATAATATTAAACAGGGAAAAAACAAGTGAATAAAGATTTTCCAACAAAAAAATGTTTAGATTTGTTATTATTTTGAGTCCCAATGTCCATTTCAATGGAAATTAAGAAAAAAAAATTATTTTTAAATATAGGACTGAAATGATCAATTTATTTTTATATTAAAAATTATTTTAATTTTAAAAGAATCGCCATAGATACACAATTAGAGAAATATAATATTTTTATTTAAATCCGTAGTAACATAAAAAAATGTTCTGAAAGTTATATATTTTTTTGTCAGTAAAAGATTCTTAAGCGGACCATACGAAAAGTATAGTCATATTTGTTAACAAAAAAAAAAAAAATTATTCATGTTTGAAATTATTTAGACTTTCGAAAAATAAAATTATGTTTGATATTAAAAAAAAACACTTCAACTCATGATATATTATAAAGAGATAAAAATAAATTACATTAAGCTTTCGATAAAATTATCAAGATAGAAGTTTTACATAATATGTTACTAAGATTGAGCGTAAGTTATACCCAAATTAATATACACAATCCATACTTTAAGCTCTTAAATTCATCTAGATATTAATTTTGTTATTAAAACATAATTATAGTATCAAGACTTTGACTGAGTTGCTTACTTGCATTAATCCAAAAAGGCAGATAACCTAAATCTTATATCATGAAACCATTAATTTGACTGAGTAGATTAATTAAAAACACTTACCACATTAAGGGTTTAAGTGTACAGTTGTAAATTAAGAGGTAAAATATAGAAGTACATTTCACAAAATGTTGACGAATACTTAAAAAAGATGTTGAGGTATTTGATTCCATGCTTATTTGCTAACTAAATATTTGTTTAACTTTTCAACATATAAATTTTACTAAAATCCAATCAAATTGGTCTAATATTTAAAAATGTACTTAACAAAGTGACATTCTTAGAATTTTTCATGTGGAAGGGTATTTATAACAGTTGTATCTTTTACACATAAGGAGCTGAATCTCTTTCCATTTCCTAAGGATCTTCTTATGAAATACATTTTTTGAAAATAATCTAAATTACTACTCTTCCGTATGACTTAATTTAAAATTTATAAGATAGTAAATTCGAATCAGGAATTCATGAGCTATCACACCAAATGATTATCGATTTTCAATATATTAAACCGATATTTCATAACAATTAGGTATAAAAATCTAAAATTAGGACATTAAAAGGACTTGTGTATGCGATTGTATATTCGATTGCCTTGAGGTACCACTGTAGCCCTCGTAAACAATATTTAAGTGCCCATTAATATTATTCAATAGGATGATTCAAATAATAGTGTTACAAAATATTAGAAGATATAATTTGTTTTACAAAATATATCAAGCACCGGGAATCGTACTCATGTCTCCAGTATCTAATAGTAATACTACTGGTTAGTAAATATGCGAAACTATTATTGTCAAATATGCAAAAATATATTTAGATTTTTCAGTAAGTATAGAAACTGATATTTATTTTTATCATTGTTTTGTACTACTGATCTGTTTCCTTACTTACTGAATCTCCATATACATTTTTTATTACATAAATGTTTAAGTTACGTAAAAAATAAAATTTAATTATGGCGATTTTTTGATCTCAAGATAATATAGTGATTAAATTTTATGTAAAATGATTATTCTACGAAATATAAAAAAAATACGTAATACAAATGTTTTATACAATTTCTTTAATTATTAAAAAAAATTTTCCAAAATTTAAAAAGTATGCAAATCTTAAATGAAATTTGATTTATACCGTCTTTAAACGTTAACATTCTTTTACGAGTTACTTAAGGTCTTAAAGTGTCAAAATAACGCAGAGGATACTATAACCCATTTACCATTTAGAGCAATCCATCAATCTATTCAATTATATACATTTCGGATAAATCTCAAAGGGAATGCCTGTTAACTGACGCTAGAGATAGGGAGCTAAGTTCTTTTGCAATCACCTTCACTTTAAGCTTTAGTACCACATTAGTTTAGATTATTCTAGCCATTCTAAACATATTATTAAACATACCGCTGTGGTTATTTTGTACATTTAAAATAACAATGAAAGTATTGATTTAGGACCATTAGCACCTAATCCATTATATTTTCATCAAACCGTGAGAGTAAAAAGGAGTTTTTACATAAAAGTTTTGGTTATTAAGATGACCAAAGTCGATTTTACCACTCAGAAACTTAATTTTGAGCCTACTTAAAACTTAAAAAAAATTGTCCTTCTGTCTTATTATCTTTTAGTTATCTACCATTCTAAACTTAATTGTAGGAATCTATAACCTATAGATATAAATGCAAATAACTTATTTTCATGAATATAAATAATAAAATACATATGTCATAACGTTATAACCACAGCTACTAAAGGCATCGACTAGACCAGTAGCTTTAGTAAAAAAAAAAAACTCCTCACAATATTTTCTATAATTTTTTTATCGAAAAATATAAACCAATCTAGCTGCTTTCTTATATAGATTTTTAATAAAAGTACTTGTGAACCTATGTCATTATGATCAGGAACATTCTGGCTTTTTTCGCTTGCCAAAAGAATCGGCGTTTTATGACTAAACAGCCAAAATTTACATTAAATCTGTATTTAGCAGTCCAGAACATAATAAAAAAAAACCCAATAATTTTGGCTGAGTATGATGCCTTTTTTTATTACCTACAATTATATAGCGTCTTAAATTACATTGAAAAAAATATTCGACAGTTTTTTCCAATGAATTCGTGTTATAAAAAATATATATTGTATAAACAAATCTGTAGATATTATAATGTACAATATAAATTTCTCATCTTCTTATTTCAGTTATAATTATAATCATAATGAGTGATTAAAAACAGTTTTTATAAAAAAATTTAAAAAAAAACGTGTTTTAGTTTAAACTTTGGTATAATTTGTGTTTAAATATTCATTATAAGCTTCGATGCGAAGCTGAGAAGATATTAATTTTATTATGATGTATCTATTATTTTTTTATTTATTTATTTTTTCTTGTGTCTGTTACCGCTCTTTCTGAGTTCTCGCCGAATCGATTTCTTTCAATGATACGTCTAAA